AAAGCTATGAGTAATCAAGCCAGAAAACTAAATTACATTGCTTGACATTCTTTTAACGTCTAATTGAAATCCTGAAAGCTAACTGAATAAGACGTAGAATATTTCAAGTAATCCAATATTCTTTTACACAGTATTACAGCTTTATTCTCATACGGTCGGTCTATCTTTCCACATTACATTGACTTAGCGATGTATTTTTTGGTGGGTGGCTTCTGTTCTACTTCTTATCGTACGAATCAAGATGCTTTCACCAAGTGATAAAAGGATCTTAATTATGCTCATCCTCGAAATAACTTTCAGGTTAGCAGTACTTTGATGCTTCGAGTGATCTCATACCGTTGCGTTATTTTGGGAGTTTCATTTTACGGTTTATGCATTTTACTTCCTGTCAACATTTGGTATCCAATCCCGAATGTATTTCATCAACTGGATATGATTGATAACTCATGGAGTAGGTTTAATTCATAATGGTAGCATCAATATTCATTGTCTAATAAATAGTTTGGGCCAACTCAATTTAAGGAACTAGCGTTCATTATGATATCACCCCTCCTAGTATCAAAATAATCTATATTTTCAATTAAACTTACTTGGGGTTAGTCTAATGCATTAAATGTGACTAATCAAATCTTACTATTATTGACCTGTACTTTTTGAAATGGTGAATTAAACACACAAATTGAATGTATTACTAAATTCTGTAGCTAATACCATGCGGTTTACCAATCAAACACGAAATGCTTTTACAACCAACCGATCTTGTTCAAATGGCTAGCTTGTTATGCTTGAAGCTATTCTAGGTGTTAGTGGATTATGTGGAAGGTTTGCTTACCAAATCAGACAAGAGTTTAACATATACTGAAGATAAATTAATAACTGGCATAATCAAGGTGGGAGACAATGTTGTTGAATAGGTGAAATGATATGGGAGAAATAAATTCTAAACTTGAGAACTTTGACAAGCGGTAAGCAAGAAGCTAGTAGCAAATTATCGCGATAATGAGATTGATGATTATCTCAGCCAGCATAATTTGTTTTGATCCATATGATCTAGCACGTAATAGCTTGGTGCCCTGTGTGTAATGCATAAACTAGGATCCTATCTTTACTCACATTTTCGGATGGGTGGCTAGTTTTGCTTAGCTCGCGTAGTGAAGTTTTTCAATGGAATTTCGGAACCTTTGTTTGAACTAGTAAATAAAAGATTAAGTTTTGTTGACCCAATTTCATTGATGAGAAGTGTAAGCGTGGCTGAATATTATAACCTTTAAAGATATAACATAATTCCTTGTCTTAATATTAACTCAGAGCGAAATATATGAGCAGGTAAGAAAATTTCAAAACAAAGCCTTGAATAATAATTATTAAAATGTATGAGAATAGGCACATATTCTGACTCATTTGTCAAAACAGAATAAACTAGATGGGAGTTTATAATGTAAGGATAAATCGCATTTTCTTGACATTTTACTAAGCAGTACAAAAAGCACTAGCGCACATAACACGTACTTCTCTTTGACAATTCATTCATCCAGTGCAAAAGCTCGTAAAATCTACTCGAACGATATCATATCTACTGGGTTAATGATCATCCTTAAAATGTCGATTGGAATGACTCACGACAACAGATTCGCAAGCAACGGATTACGTTTACTTGACAGTAAATTGACTAGAGTAATTGTCTATTTCTGAAACTTAAGCTGAGTACAGCATTATACGTGGGATTTATCAGGGCTGTAAAAAATACTTTTACGAATCCAATATTTGTAATACTTTGCAGATTAATTCTGACAGTGGAAATAAAAAGATAAGCTACCATGAAGCCCCCATACTAAAACTATAGTTTCGAGTTTACTAGTGACTTACTTCGAAATGATTTCCTGAAGTCCTAGTGGTAAGTCAAGCTGTGAACTTCAGACACATCGACAGTGAAACTAATAGCATTCAATAATGAAACTGCTGCATTGTGAATTGACTGAAATTGGAAGTGTGTATTGTTTGGTACTGACGCTGTAGTCTAGCAGATAAGCGCTGACTTTGAGGCCTAGATTTCCCGAGTTCTATCCTTAATGAGTTCCTGGGTCAGAAGTACATATGAGCTTCGTAACAGGACGAGACTGTTGTTGTTGGTTCTTCCAAAACAGTGAAAGAAATGATGTTAGGTCGTTAGAAATAGTCATCAGGAAACCCTGGACCAAGATTTCATGCCAGTTGACACTCACTAGCGAGGTGCATCTTCAATCTCATTCTCCATCTTAACAGTGGGAAATGAATATATCCCCGAGAAGTTGGAGCGTGCCCACAAAAAAATTAATTACCCACTTATTAACACTTATTTCTCTACCAAGCATTTCTAGAGCAAGGAACTCATTTAGTATTGGTAATGATGTGTTTTGTTATCCAACATTGATGAAATACCACTTATTATACTTTTCATTTGATCGCATTACGTCTTATTACTATTAATTCTAATCAGATAATTACCGTTTGTCAAATATCACCGATTGACCTATTTGCTGTTGTTCAGCAATTACATTTAGTCGCATGTTATTAAATCGCTGTCTAGGATCTGTGAAGATTTTATCGTATTAGTTCTCTTATGGGGAAATATGATAGAAGTTACTGCATTCCTACTAACAAATTTGTAAGAAAATTGTCTGCTGCAGGATCATGGATCTGAACAAGATTGGTAACGAATGGAAATAGATATTTAAATGTTCATTGCAATTGGCCTTTTGACTGACGATGAACTAAAATATAAATAGATCTAGGAATGCGTTTAAAGAGAAACAGGATCAATGAAACATTGTGTTCAAAAAGCTTATTTAATAATATGGGAACGTAATTATCTTAATATAAAGCTGTCGTATTAGCATTACTTGACAGTATTCCTGTTCACAACACACGTTCTCGAAAAAGTCACTAAATTTAATTTCTGAATAACTTGTAACTATTCAGTTATTTTATTATCGCATTTAACAGTTAATGAAATGTTTTGAGAATATATCACCCTGTATAATCTGTACACGTGAACTCAACAGCCAGGAATGAATATACAACAAACTGATTTATATTATCCTTGGTCAATTGTCTCAGCCAAATCCCAATACAGTTCATGGGAGACGTTACTCCGCTAGATAATCAGCTTGGTAGTCTCACATTCACTTAACTCTTTCTGTAAACTAAATATATTGTTCTTTCTGACCACTGTATTTTTCCTTTAGGTTTATCTTATGAGCACGAAGATTAAAGGACTTATATGTTAGCCTCATGCATTTCTTTCATATAAGAACTTCTTCATAATCTTACGGAGTTATGGTAGTCTTATGGTTAATTATGCTGTATTTGTAATTTTTCGCTTGGTCGTACATTAGACCAGAAACTTTGGAAGTACTCTCCATTCCTGTACACAGTTATTATATAAATATCCATTTGAGACTAAGTATTGTTCCGTTCACTAAATTAGTATATTTATTTTGGAATTCATGTACGGGTAGATTTAAACTGATATATCACAATGACAAAGTACATAATTGAATAGTCTGTTTTGAATCCATAATGCTTTTATGAAGACAAGTATTGGTGCTGATATATCTAAACTGAATTAAATATAAATCCACTTGGTATTGTTTACTTGAATCTTCCCATTGATGATTAAAACTGCAATTGATTAGTCTCTTATTGGCATTGAATTGGGCGGCCTGCTTGAGCATCTGGGCTACCTGTTCCTGTCATCTAAATATTTCAACAAGTTATCTATTTTTGTTTGTTTTAATATATCATTATGTATATTAATCGCATAACCCATCCTTGTGCATTTCTGAAAAGTTTACAACCTTTCGTTGTCAAAGTTACTAAAAGCTCAATAAGAGATAATGTGGTCGCTGGCAATATGCAGAGAAAAGAATATACATTATTCAGATGTTTATTTACTGGACTGCTAACATCTAACTGGCTATCACTCAATATTTATCGTCAGGATCGACCCAGAAGAAAGAAACGGAAACTTGTTGAAATACTTTGTGCTGAGAATTCTATATTGTACCGAAAATATAATATTGAATAAAGCTTATAATAATAAATAAATAAATAAATATGTGCATATTGTGCGTATTGCCTCGATATTGCTTTAATTCAGTAGCTAAGTGGATAAAGTGATAGCATTGGAAGCATTGAGTTCAAGTCCCAGAGTGAAAATCAACTCTGAGATACAGGTACATGCAGCTGGCAAGTCTCAAATAGGACAAAACGCCCGTTCTAGATTCTACTACTAGCCACTATCCGTCATTGCTTATAATGCTTTTGAATTAAATATAACTAGATTTAAACCTACAATCTAATAGTTAGAAACTGAGTACTTCAACAACTAAGTCAATTCACCATTGATTATAGGTAGAAGTTGGCCTACATTATCTTTCTTCTCGTTAACAAATTTTAAATGCATATTTAGATTCATTGTTGTTTCTCTTTTTAAAAAATTACTCGAATATTTAAGAAAATAAATAAATAAATATATTTTTACTGGTTAAGATCATGAGTCAGTTGAAGCTAAACCACCATGGAAAACCTGGAAGCACTATTGTGGGGCTCCTCAGCAGTGCGCATCCACGACCTCGCCCCCTGAGAGATTCGAACCCAGGACCTACTGGTTTCGCGCACGAGCACTTAACCACTAGACCACTGAGCCGGCCGGCATCCAACAGTGTTAATGTCTAACTTCAACTAATTCACAAAATTGAGCGACACATCCACCATTGTCTTCAGTGAGTTACTATCTCACAACAGACCTGGTTGAACTTCACTGGTTACTACTTCTCACTAGAACTCCATCATATATCTCTTGAAGCTAGTCACTAGTGAGCATATATTTTCCATGGTAGCCTAGCTTCAACTGACTCATGATCTTAACCATATGATATCCACAAAACCCCTTTCTGAAAATAAAAATATGTTCTTCACTGATTTACATGATCAATTCATGAATGTTGTTTATACAAAATTTATATTATACAATTGAATTGAGAAAAAAAATATTCATCAATATCAAAGTTAATTTTACTTAAACTACTTATTAAACTACTTGTAATACATAACATCCAACTATATTTTCGAAAATTCTCATCACGAATATAATAATATAAACTGGCTGGTATTATGTCATTATTATTACCATTATTATTATTATTATTATTATTATTATTATTATTATTATTATTATTATTATTATTACTTATTAATTCAATATAGTCATTATTATTGTTATTATTATTAGTAGTATGTAATAATTGAATTAAATTTTTTATTGATTTTTTAATGATTTTCTTTTTATTGATTTGATCTAATGTTTCATAACCTGGTGTAATTTGATATAATGGTATAATAATTTGTTTATTTATATTAATAATTAATTTATTATAATCAATTAATATTTGTAAAATAATATGAATTAATTGACAACGTATACCTTTTGGATCAATTGATTGACCAATCATAATTTGTAAATATTTTTGTAAATTTTTGATATCCTGAATACATGTTAAACCATTCATTAATAAATTTAATAAATTTTCATTTATTATTATTTCATTATTATTATTATTACTATTGTTATTATTATTATTATTATTATTATTATTATTATTATGTAATTGTAATTGTAATTGTTTTAAATAAATTAAAAAATCTGGTATTAATGAAATCATTTTTTCATTAGATTTCTGAATAAAATAAAAATCATTTTGAAATAATTGATTTTGAGCTAATTTTGCATATTGAATTAATTTAAGATTTTTCTCTAAGTGATAAAAACAAAAATACATATGTATAGGTGGATAAAAAAAGAGGGGAGGATGGAGAGAGAGGAGGGGAGAGAGAGAGGGGGGAGAAGTACATCTTTAAAATAGATATTTACAAAATAAATAATAAGTAAATATATTTGCTTATAATGATTGTGAATTAGGTAATATGCACAGTATGTACACAGTCCAATAAGAGACTGATCAATTGTAAACCTAACATATCAATGAGAAGATTCAAGTAAAACAATACCAAATGAATTTAAATTTCACCCATATTGTACAAGCAAGTGACTATCAGGACTGAGAAGCTAAGTGGATAATGTGATGGCGCTTTGAAGTGGATGGTTGTGGGTTCAAGTCCCAGAGTGAACATCAATTCTAGGATGAAGGTACATTCAGTTGATCAGTCCTAAATAAGACGAAACGCGCGTCTTAGATTCCACTACTAGTCACTATCCATCTATGTTAAAAATATTCATTTGTTTTATATAAAAGATGTGATCTAATGAATTCATAGTTAACTTATTTGGATTTCGTCTTCTTTTTATAAAAAAAAAACTTATCACATATTCAAATCCTAATTCTATTCGTTTTAGGACTGTGGTTATCATTAGTGTCTTAAATGTTCAGTAGGTTTGCTATGCCCAATACTTTTATTTATTTGTCTATTCATTTAACAACTGAATACTGTAATGTAGGGTGTAATTTTGATTAAAGATTACATTTTAAGGCCGAAATGTTTACTAAATTTACATTTTTTATTTGATATTTCGGGATGACTTCACCTTTTATGGAACAACACTCTATTCTACAGGATTCAAACACTAGATAAATAGAACAATTATCAACAGTATTGGCTATGATATGTTGCTGATACTTTTAGCTGCATTTAAGTTTCAAGGTAGCTAGTTATTATTACATGAATCCCTACAAGCTATTTAACTCAAAGTTGGTTACATTAACCTGTACTCGATATTAATAATTTTTATTTAAACATTAACACCTTTGCACACCGGCTCAATGGTCTACAGGTCAAGCGTTCGTACGCGAGACTGATCTGTCCTGGGTTCGAATCTCATGAGGCGCGATCGTGGACGTGCACTGCTAAGGAATCCCACAATGGGACGAAATGACCGTCAAGTGTTTCCAGGTTTTCTATGATGGTCTAGCTTCAATTGACTCAGGATTTCAACTATTGAAATTACTAAAAATCTCCACAAAACCCCTCCTGATAATAAAACATAATTCCTAATCGATTAAATTAAGGTCCCCAAATGGTACGGCCGATGGTAGGGAGAGTCAGCTCTTTTACTCGAAATACTCTTACATGGCCACGTGTATACAGCCACTGACAGGGAAGGCCTTCTCATTGCCTTCTCGCGGCGGTGTTGTTTACAAAGCTGGGAGGCCAAAAACTGAATATCTGGCACTCTAACCAGGTTGGTGGATACGAAGGATCCACCTAGGGAAGTTGGAAAACCCTGGTTCCAAACCAATGGTGCGCATGGGCTCCAGGATCCTGAGGAGACAAATGGCGTATGAACCAAATGTTAGTATTCGGCTACCATGGGACTGCATCTCCTGACGTTGCCCCACTGCGTTGTGAATCAGACCTTTAAGTCGAAGGCTCCGGATTCGGCCCCATAAGAAAACCACCTGCTTCGCTCCTGGCACCCGAGCAGTATCACAGCCCACACACAAATCAAGTAACTTATGTTGCGCATATGTATTCGGTGCCCTTCTGTACCAATATTTATGTGTTCAAATTAATAAACTAAATAAAGTATATGATCAATAAATACTTATTCATACTGTTAACATTTAACCAGCCCATAATAATCTCTAGTCTAGAAATATTACGATTAATTTCCACTTTATTTCTTATAAGATAGTGATTAATAACTCCTTTGATGAACTTAAATCTACATATTTTCTCTAAAAAAAGTTGTCGAATGTGATTCGTGAACTAAGCATCGATTTGTACAACAGATTTCAGCTCAAATTTCCTGGCATCAGGGTATGTGATATTATTGAGTTACTCAAACAAATATACATGATAAGAAGTTTAAAAGTCTTTAGGTGTTAAACTACTATTATATGTTCATTTCATTTAACTGTTTATCATCCAGTGAATATTTTTGTTTTTACAATAAATAGTATCATTTCAGACATTGATTAAACTTCATTTTTAAAACTAAAAGGAAGTAATTATTTATTTATTAGTTTAATCCTTTAACTATCCGAAGTTTTTTTTCTTTAATTTTTTTTCTACTGATAAACACGGTTTTACTACAATAGTAAAAACGGCGAGACTCTAATTTATGGACGACCTTTGAACGAATCTTAAATAACCTTGAGAAATATTAACCAATCAGCACACAGTTAGTATAGGATAAAAATATGTCATACAAAACCATGGAAGTAAAGTGGATACACTTCTTATACGTGGTTCAAAATCTTGTCAAAGTTAGAAGGAGGTTCAGAGGTTCTAAAATCCTAATGAATGCAGTAGAAGAAATCATCCATATGTCTACAGAATGGTCGGCCTCTGGAGCCATGCTAAAGTCTCAAATACTCTTTCAGCCACAAGCACATAGCTTCAATATTGTTTATATGCACTCCGGTTGTTGGGTGCACAAAATGCTACTTGTGGATAACGACAACATACACAAAACCAAGCCTATGTAGGAGTTTGTACGCTCACCAAACATCCGTATATATTGTAGTACCTGGCTGCAGCCAGTGTTACTGGTGTTTACATTATCCAGTTCGCAATAATTGTCGTAATTCGCCTTAGTTAGGAATTATATATGGTGTTTTCATCACGAACTGACATCAGCTATAATGCCAGAAATTTATTTAGCCAAATGGATGAAAGGCTTTCGCGTTAAAATCCGAGATCTATTATCTTATACCTGATTGATTCGTCAACAAATTATAGTCCCGCCGTTTTATTTGTTATAGCCGCTCAATTATCACGTTTTGTACAAAATTCCCTGTGAACTGATCGTACGTTAGCATTAAGCACTGAAGTTGGCGCTGTAACCTTGACATCTCTAAAACGCCTTTGATTGTCTCGTCCATAAATTAGAGTCTCTCCGTAAAAACGAATGTAACTGAAAATATGAGTATCTAAACATGTAGATTGTTCAAGGAAATTGTATTACTTCATTAACAAGAATCTATTTTACAGCTTTATAGTTTGATACTTTTGTTAAGCAAAATTTGTTATACAGTAAAATGATCCGATTTTTCTCAGTTTAAGTTTTATAGTTTTCTTTATTAATTTCTAATTATGTTCGATTTATTCACTTGCGAGTGAAGGTGGATAGTGGTTAGTAGTGGAATCCAGTTTGACGAGCATTTTATCCTAAGTTCTAGTCACAGAGTGAAAATCAACTCTAAGATGCAAGTATATCCAATTGACGAGTCTCATATAAGATGAAACGCGCATCCTGGATACCACTTATAGCCACGATTCATATTTGAACAGAATGAAGCTTTTCTTTTCTTTTATTGTTCAATGATTGATTTCATTATATAATATATTCATTAAAATATATTTTAATTAATATTTTTTTCAACTAAAATTATACTCAAATTCTCATAGTCTCATTCGTAATTCAATTGAGTCAATATGAACATTGAATTACTTATATCATATGAATAAATAGAATAATTCAATGTTTTATTCTATTTGCATAGTGTTAACTAGCTTAAAGAAGATCTAATTATTAGTGAACACAATTGATTTGTACATCATCTAGGTTAAAGTGCTATTTTCAAGTATTTTAGTATTGTAAATAAATAAACAATTAGTGTAGGAAGAAATGATACACATTTTTGTTATGTTGAAATATTGATTAAAATCTATGCATAACTGATTGTTTTATATGGTTTCAAAGTAGATTGATTACTGTTTTGATGGAGATTAAAACAATATTGATGAGAAGGGTATCAGTTCATTTGTGTGGAACGATTGTAAACTATAAAGAATTTGGGAATCATGTTAGATTTAAGTCTGGAACTCTTAAATGATACAGAATGATGAAGAAATAAAGAATTGAATCTAGTATCCTTAACGTTTCTCAATGAACATGCTACTTTGAGACTGCTATTGAAGATCCAGTGGTTAATGGATGATAACAATCAATGACAAAATTAACTTTGAACATGGTAATCTCTACAACTCCTTCGTGTTTTGAGAATGATATTTTTATAATTTTAGAATAATGAAGCAAATATTGTTGATAAATCAATAGAAAAGGATTTACATTGGAACTTAATATAAGTGAAATAATTATTTAAAAGACTCCTAAAATTAATCAAGAACTATTTGATTATATTATTATGAGATACTTCAACTGTATGTATTTATGATCATTTATTGATTGATACTATGCCTTAGTGATATTGTAAAGAGTACTCTGTTATTTGGTCAATTGAATGCCATTTAAAGATTGATTCCAAACTGTCTTAAACTCTAATAACAGATGTATAAACTTGTAATGAATAACAAAATTGGAAAGCGATCAATATTCCCTACAGATTATTCGTACTCCTGTGTTTAGGGCATTATAAGAAGTATTACCAAGTTTATATATTTCACTTCTTACAATCAAATTAGTTACAGGTATAGATTAAACTATAGGAATTCGCCTGAACTCGTCGAATCTTGGTTGTATAGTGACATTTATTGTTTATCTCCATAAATAGATCCAGTTAAGGATTATTCTTAGTTTTTCACTTCTCGGTTTTATTTATTCTTTTGGAACCATATTTAAAGAAAAACATATTTATTTCTAGATTATTTCTTTTTCGAATGTGAAAAATTCTATCATTGTACACTCTTACCAAATCCTACTTACTTACGTCCGTTACCCCTCATCGAGGAGTATAGGCCACCCACAAGCACTCTCCATCCAACCCTGTACTGGGCAATCCTTTCCAGTTCTTTCCATTTGTTGTTCATCCTTTTCACATCTGCTTTTATTTCCCGAAGTAATGTGTTCTTTGGCCTTCCTCTTTTCCGCTTCTCTTCAGGACTCCAGGTTAGGGTTGCCTCGTGATGCAGTTTGGTGATTTTTGTAATGTATACCCTATCTACTTCCATCGTCTTTTCCTAATTTCCTCTTCAACTGGAAGCTGGTTTGTTCTTTCCCACAAAAGGCTGTTGTTGATGGTATCCGGCCAGTGGATGTTGACTATCTTGCGTAGACAGCTATTTATAAATACTTGCACCTTCTTGATGATGGTTGTTGTAGTTCTCCAAGTTTCAGCTCCGTACAGTAGAACTGCCTTGACATTCATATTGAAGATTCTCACTTTGATATTGGTTGAAAGTTGTTTTGAGTTCCATATGTTCTTCAACTGTAGGAATGCTGTCCTTGCTTTGCCAATCCTTGCCTTTATGTCTGCATCTGAACCTCCTTGTTCATCGATGATGCTTCCCAGGTATGTGAAGGACCTCACATCTTCCACAGTTTTGCCATCAAGAGTGATTGGATTGCTGTTCTCCGTGTTGAATTTGAAGATCTTGTTTTTTATTTTGTGTATAATGAGGCCTACTTATGCACAGGCTGCTACTACACTAGTTGGCTTCATTGACATTTGTTCGTGTGTATGGGATAAAAGGGCTAAAACAAAACACTAACCAGATTAAACAAATTACCAAATCTTAAGTTGATAATAATTAATGAATTAATACTCTTTATTATAAACTGACTTCATCATCTTAACTAATATAAATCATAATTGTCAACAATTTTCAATGAAGTTCAATACAATTTTCATCTTACCTGAATCTTCTATATGATATACAATTGGAATTATAGATATTTTCCATTCATTTATAGCATTTAATACATCATTATTATTGATATAAAGTTGAATTTTAAAACAATCTACTCCAATTACTTTACGTGTTTCTATGGTGTCAAAATATTTTTGTAGACAATTTGCAAATTGATATTTGATTGAATTTATCTCTTCTAATTTATCAATACTATCTGGATATATAATAAGTATTAAGTCTGTAATAAAGTAGAATATACATTATCAAGAGTAAAATTTGTAAAATGGAAAATATTCACTCATTATGAGATAATTATTATTACAAAACTGATATATGCCTAAGAACTAATTATAACTGAAAACTACTGTTCTACTGTGGTGTGTACTACTGATGTCGACAGATATAAGTAGTATGTGTCATCAATCGAAAGTGAAATGCTTGGTGGGAGAAGGTTAAGAAGATAGAAGAAAAAAGAACGACAACAGAGAATGGTTGGTGTGGGAACGAAAGAACAATAAAGTCTGAGACAATTAATTTACATTTTACAAATGAATTACTTATTGTATGGTTTTCGGATTTTACTAAGACATTCTGTAATTTTTTATTGAGATACATTTGGTTGTCCCCATTTGTGTTCTCGTTCACTACACTACTATTCAATAATGTACATTGAAGTCCTAATACGGGATTATGGCCGACATGCACAATAGAAATTTTTTACTTCTTATTTTCAGTATCAGTTAGTATGAATTACAGTTTGCCCTTGAACCAGTAGTGATTTACTGTGTCATTTGTAAATGGACTGACTTTAAAGATTGAATCGTTTCATTGGAGCTTTGGAAATCTCACCTGAAAGCTAGTTATTTATCGGTGTAAAACCATTATTTAATTAGCTTTAATATTACGATATCCTTTTATAGTTTATAGATATTTTAAAGTTAACACTACGGATTGATTATAATTAAATGACCATTGAAAACGAGGAAACATTGGGTGGCTTTTTTATCCTAGTACTAGATTCCTGATCAATTCATATGTACGATGTCGCCACGAATACTAGTACTACTGAAGAGCCTCATAATAAAACGAAACAACCTTCAAGTACTTACAGGTTTTCAATGGTGGTCTAACATCAATCGGTTAATGATTTCAATGAAAAATTTATTCAAGCTGATCTGCTGAAAATAACATTCTGGAATTTTATCTATTTTCGCGTAGGTTTGAGAAAAATAACGTTGCCAGAACCTTTGACGAAGTAGCTTACATTAAGTCACGAAATGTCAGAAATACAGTTTTCCTATTCATTGGGATATATTAAAAAATATATTTATTATGTTACCAGACACTGTTATAATGGGCTGTGTCCGAGATCTGATTTTGATACACAACGTACTACACACTACACATATTTTCTATGGACTATTTAGATTTGGGTTCTATAAAACGTTATATGTAGACCGTAACACGGATCTGATTAGTAAAATAATTACTGATAGTGTCCTGTGGACAAATATCCTAATTGTGAATTTTGTTATATCTAACCGTATTTTCTAGGTCAACTAAAGCTTTCTTACAGTTATATTCAATCGTTAAGCACGAAACTAAATTTTATTCATTATTCACTTCATTTATTGGAGTACATTTATTATAGTTTTGTCAACATCAGAAATATTGGCAGTGTGACAGACCACCATTATGTATATATCGTTAACTTTTAGGTGGTTTGGGATAGTTGACAGGGAATCCTCTACCAAAATCTCGTGCTAATTCTCATGCGTAAACAAAGTATACCTTCAATGTCGAGAAAAATAATGCTCCTTTTATAATTTTAACTTGTTTTCCCCAGCTTCACAGTTCAATAAATGATTACTATACATTCGGTAGCGAATTATGTAGACTAGTGACGAAATTGAAACTCTGTCGATAGAATCTCGGACACCCTCCACCATAACAATCTCTTTGTATAGGTTATTCAGAATTGATGTATGCGTCAAATATTCTGAATATAAGAAGTTAAGGTCAGTGCAAAGAATTTTAGCATCTCAATGAGAATGATTGACTGTTTGAATTTACATATCCGGAATCTTCCTCAAAAACGAAATGCGAATCAACAGATTATACAGTTAATATTGATTCTTTTACATGTAGCTTGAACACTGCATATTATAAAAAAAATCAGTGAATAGTGACCTAATCGACTGGGAACTCCAAAGATTTTTATCGATTAAAAGGTCATCAATAAATCAGTGACGTAGTAATGGCCATATTGTAGTTTATTATTATTTCTTCTTATTGTGTTATAAGGAAACTAGTCCATATTATCACACAGATTTTGAGTACTAAAGTGAATTGTACTATAGAATTTATCTGCATACTGAGTTCTTGTTCTTTGCTAGCTATCTAACAATCGAGCGAATGAGCGAAGTTGTATGTTGGGCTAAGAGATGTTATGTATTGATCTCGGTAGCTATTTTGCTGTTATTGAGTCATTAGTTGAAGGAAGGTCACTAAGTTAACAGAAACTTATTGGTCTTATACAGGAAATCTAAGCTAATTAATCAATAATCCGACTGATGAATACAGCTGTACACCTAAATACCAGCTTGATTGAATTGGTGTTAATTGCAATGCAAGAATCAATTCCCTTTAGCAATTACACCATCAACTTATATCGTTTTTTTTAATTCATTGTCATCACTAAACAATAATTCTCAACTATTCTCGTTATTTACAAATTACTTATGCTATGCGACTTATTAGAGTACTGATAACGGGGTTTCTTTACATTTTCCATCATACAATGAAGTAATTACTTTATATTATCTTTTTTTACTTTACTTACGCCTGTTACTCCCAATGGAGCATAGGCCGCCGACCAGCATTCTACAACCCACTCTGTCCTCCGCCTTCTTTTCTAGTTCCATCCAATTCTTGTTCATTTTTCTCATGTCTATCTCCATTTCTCGGCGTAATGTGTTCTTTGGCCTTCCTCTTTTCCTTTGACCTTCAGGATTCCATGTGAGGGCTTGCCTTGTGACACAGTTGGGCGCTTTCCTTAATGTGTGTCCTATCCACTTCCAACGCTTCTTCCTGATTTCTTCCTCCGCTGGGATCTGGTTTGTCCGCTCTCACAGTAGGTTGTTGTGATAGTGTCTGACCAACAGATTCGAAGTATTTTGTGCAGACAACTGATAATAAACACTTGTAGCTTCTGGATGATGGCTTTCGTAGTTCTCCAGGTTTCTGCCCCATACAGTAGAACTATTTTGACATTTGTATTGAAAATCCTGACCTTGTTGTTGGTTGACAATTGTTTTGAGTTCCAGATGTTCTTCAGTTGTAAACATGCTGCTCTTGCTTTGCCGATCGGCGCCTTCACATCTTCATCAGATCCACCCTGTTCATCAATGATGCTGCCCAAATATGTAAAGGTTTTTACATCTTCTAAATCTTCTCCGTCAATTGTGATTGGGTTGGTGCATGCTGTGTTGTATCGGAGAATCTTGCTTTTCCCTTTGTGTATATTGAGACCTACTGCTGTTGAGGCTGCTGCTACACTGGTCCTCTTCTCCTGCATTTGTTGTTGCGTTTGGGATAGAAGGGCCAGATCATCTGCGAAGTCTAGATCGTCCAACTGCATCCTAGATTTCCATTGTATCCCGTGTATTCCCTTCAGATGTTGACGTCTTCATGATCCAGTCGATCACAAGGAGAAAGAGAAAGGGTGAGAGTAAGCAACCTTGCCTGACACCGGTCTTTATTTCGAACGACTTTGTCAACTGTCCTCCATGCACGATTTTGCAGTGTAATCCATCATAGGAATTCTGTATGATATTGACTATCGAAGTAGCTTTCATAGTGTTTTTCTGTCCACGATACCAAATGCATTTTCATAGTCATTGAAACTTTATGTTATCGTTACTTAAAACATTTATTCAATACCCCCAATGAGCGCTGAATGACACAAAGGTTTATCAGCTGCTTATAGTCTATCTTAATCATTTGTGTTTACATACATTATGTATTCAATTAAGAATTAAAGATTTCAAAAGGAATATTAAAATGGAAAGATTATGTTAAATGTAAAATTGATTTTGTAATGTTAAAAAACAAACAAACAAACAAACAAGTAACCAGTTAGTAACTAAATTAATTAAGTCACTCATTATAGGTATAGACAACTGATTGATTATAGTCTGAGGCCTATGCTCCATTAGGAGTAACAGGCGTAAGTAAGTAAGTACAAATTGTTTATATTGAATGAATTCAATTATATTAAATAATAAGCTTAATTAATAAGAGTACTCAATGTTGACAGGTTAACTTTTAAGCACTTTTTTTAAAAACTAATCTATGTATTGTTATGTAATTGATATTTAAACAATACAAATAAAAATAAACTGAAATCAGTCACTATAACAATAGGATTTTAATAGTATGATGTAATATGAATATATATCTGTATAGATTGTTTTTGAACTATTAGTCCAAGTACTTCATAGTCAATATGTTAGTTACCCGTATTAAAGATATTAATTTCAAATGACTATTTACAATTTTGAAGGGAAACGGAAAAAAAAGGAAAGCCAAAGAACACATTACATCGGGAAGTAGAATCACATATGATAAGGATGAATAACAAAATGGAAAGAACTGGAAAGGATTACCCATAACAGGGTTGGGTGGAGAGTGCTCGTGGGTGACCTATGCTCCTCCACGAGGAGTAACAGGTGTAAATAAGTAATTTACAAACACTTGAAATTAACTAAATAATAATCTCTTGACTTACTTAAATATATTTTAATAGGTACTAACAGATTAAAGGGTTAAAACTGGATAACATCATTAATATAAGTCGATGATATGTTTTAAATATGAAAGTAGTTACTGATAAAGTTTAAAACTTTAATTTATCTGTCAAATCAGATATGCTAGTGGTAGATATTTTGGTAACGTTTTTGTTTTACTTTTCTGTAAAGTTGAAGTCCCTTTGTTTTGTAGTGCAACAAGCTAATTTCCCCAAAACAGTCATACATACAGAAAGTAAATTACTATCATATGCTATGATATGGTTGGCCTGGTTGTTCAGAAACAGTTGAATCCCATTAATAGCTAAATTATTATATCAATAAAGCATTATGCTCCAGTGATGTGAAGTTTGATAAATATTAGTAGATTGATCGATAGAGACAATTAGGTGAAACGCAACTAAATACGGTTTAACATAAAAATTATCGATTCAAGTTGTATGAAAGATATCAGCAGATTATTGCAACCATAGAATTACAAATAAAATCAAGTTCATAATGAATAAATTTATGCGATGATCTAATAATCGGAATGGAAATCCAAGAAATGGTTACGTAAAGCAACGAAATAACAGTGAATATTTCACCTGATCCCTTTATTTAGAACCTGATTTATCGTTGAAATTCAAATTAATTAGCAGGGGATAGCAATAATGGGATCTTATAATCTTAGTGAAAATAAAATTAGTTGAAGGGACCTCCATACATTTTCAAATAATAATTAATTAATCGGATAGTTTTGGTACAGCTGAAAAATACTGTCTGTCGTTCACAAACATAAACAAAACACTTCGATTGATTTGAGAAGACCGAGAGTTAAGATTAAAAGACTTTAAGCATTGTATCAAAACGGACATCAGCCTTGTGACTTCCGAAAGAACTTGGCTTTGATCATGAGACATCATAACTCTTCTAAACGAAGACCTTCTAACTCCCAGGGCAGAGTTTAAATGGTTTTAATTATTTTTCCTGGTTAGCATTTTTTTAGCGAGTTAGTTTTCTACGGGATCGGGTCACTAACCCCATGCTCAACCCTCTTCCTTTATCCGGGCTTGGGACAGGCAGTAGCCCCACGGGGGGCCCCGGGCAGAGTTTTAGGCATTGGATGGTATGTTAATATTTTATTCATGTACCCCAACTGAACAGTAAATTATTATATCTGATTGTTGCACATAAATAAACCGAGTCATAGAGCTCAAACAGCTACTTAGTTAATGGTTAACATCAATAACTGATATAGAAGAAAATAAAATCTATTAAATGTTCAATCTGAATAAAAATGTTTAATTAATCAAGCCAATATTATTCAATACTCTGAAATATAAGCAGGCAATTTAATAGTTATATTCAAACTAATTTATATTAGGGCTGACAACAAACAAAAAATAATAATTTAATAGTTGAGTTCATGAGTCAGTTGAAGCTAGACTACCATGGAAAACCTGAAAGTACTAGACGGCCGTTTCGTCCTATTGTGGGACTCCTCAGTTATGTGCATTCACGATCCCACCTCTCGAGATCCGAACCCAGGACTTATCGGTCTCACACGGGAACACTTAACCCCTAGACCACTAAGCGGCCATCCAACGATGTTAATGTCCAACTTCAACCAATTCAAAAAACCCCACTTCTGATTATAAAAAAAATAATAATCATACTAACCAGATTCAATTCGTTCTAATACAAATCCACTAAATATTTCATCATTCTCTTCTTCTAAACACCATTTTAATTCCAATAAATTAGTATGACAAAATATTTGATGTTCAAATTTCTCATGTACTTGAGCTAAGAAATAATTCATAGATGAGTAAATACCATTGACAATTGGTTGGCAATCGACTATTTGTAATTTTATACCAATTTCTCCTAGAGATTAGTTTAGTTGAAAAAATGTTATATTGAAAATTATACATGGTAGTAAATATAAAATTTATATGATCATTTAATAAGTAGACAAATACCTGAAATATTCATTTGGTGTTGTTTACTTGTATCTTTCGATTGTTATTTAGGACTACAAATGATCAGTCTCTTATTTGCATATGTGAATCCTGTGCGTATTGCCTGAAGTCACAAGTTTTATAAGCAAAGATGAATAGTGGCACAAGGAGGTGGCTAGTAGAATTCAGTAGCTTAGTGGATAATGCGATGGCGTTTGAAGCAAACAGTACTGGGTTCGAATCCCAGATTGAAAATCTGTTATAATGTGAAAAAGGGCTGCAGATTGGAGGTTAGCGTAATATCGATCGGACCAAAGACGCGCAGACATGTAAGAACGGCCTAGGGTTCTGAATGGTCCAGCTTCCCTGTCTACCTCAGCCAGTTGAGTCCAGACCTCTTGTAAGACTGAGTTATTTACCACTGACCGTTCATTGATAAGTTAACGATGTAATGTTTGTATGTTCATACTGTTTGTCTCTAACCACGCAACATCAAAATATATTGGACGCATTGTTGAGCCACATAGATTGATGGCCACACTACAAACTGATCTCTAGAATTATATCAGCACTAATAAACTAGGATAACATGGCACTGGTCACCACTCATTGATCAACCAACCTGTAAATAGGATAATCCCTGGGGAATATTCATAGAGAGTAGGTGTCTTTTTGTGCTGTAATGTTTTAATTTAAAAGATCCTATCTGGATAACAAAATCATTTCAGTATACAATATCTAACAGAAGGATAATATTCCATTGATTATTATTTCGACTCCATTTAAATTTCTCCTTGAAGAATTATGTAGGCTTGACATATGTCAAATTTACTTTCTGAATATCCCGAATTCCTTCAACGTTGGGTAAAATTTCCTAAATCAAGAAGCTATGTGCTATCCAAACTTTGAAAATACTGGTTATCTACAGTTACACTGTTTATTCATACTTCGTATACAAGACCAAAAACATTTAAACATATCATTCATTCTAAACTATGTGTACGCAATTATTTATCATGTTTCAAAGTTACCAAATTTTGTTAGTTTTCTCATTTTTAATCAATCTCTATAGTAGTAATAGTTCAGCGACACAGAAAACAATAATTATCATAGTATATTTCAATTCCCCAAGTCAACAACCATTTGTGCATATATTCAACTTTGCTTGATTCGTGATACTGAATACTTTCGGTTTTATTAATCATCTTCTAAACAATTTTGACTTCACTAGTTACTGTTTCTCACTAGAAACTCGAACAATTTAAGTAACACACATTAGAAACAGATTCATGATGAATGTTCAGTTTCAAGGTTGAATTAATATTAACATCCATATTGATTAAATTGTAAAGGGAACCATTGCGTTTCTTTTGTAATTATTATTTCTTTAAAATCCTTAGTTTATAACTCTCCTGCTTGAATATCTGGGCTACTTGTTCTTGCCATCTAGATATTTCAACAAGTTGTTTTTGTTTATTTTAACACACCATTATGTTTGTTAATCAGGTAACCTATTCAGGTGCCTTTATGAAAAGTTTACAACATTTCGCTGTACAAGTTACAAAAAAGTTCAATCAGAGACATCGCGGTTGTTGGTAATATACATCGAAAAGAATGTATATTATTCAGATGTCGATTCTTGAAATGATAACTTTGAACTGACGCCCACTAAATATTAAACATCAGGATCAATCAATAAGTAAGAAACTTGCAGAGAATTCTATATTGTATCAAGAATATAATATTGAATAAGACTAATAATAATAACATTTTTCAAAACAGTATTTTTCCCCTCTTAATTCAAACAAATCAAGAGCAAAAATTTGAACAACATAATATAAATTTAATTTACTTTCATCTAGGTTCGTATCATTTGCTTACATAACCTGTAATGTTTGAAGATCAAAACTATAAAATAAGTTTGTAGATCACCGACATAGATGATCAACGTAGAATGATTGGAGGCCTATTCGATTCAGACGGGCATGGTGTGACGAACTAACTAACTTCGAAGTCACACTTCGCGGTTAGCATCTAACGTGGGTTACATCTTCAACGTATCAATGTACTATGGCTGCTTTGAAGACCGTATAACACGAAGGACGTTATTATGGGAAGATATTAGTAAAAATGAGTACAGAGAAGATAGCGAGACCATCGCTGTATGCGACAGTTCATGGCATACGGTTAACTGATGCGCGTTGGTTATCCTTGACCTTGAGGAGGATTGATGATCTGTTCGATATTTAGTGACCCAACTGCCAGATGATCAGGCTAGGGCTCAGTGACATTTCACTGGCCCTACAAGTTAAAAATATATAAATGAATTTGATTAATTGTTGTGGACAAATATCAGAATGCCATTAGGAAAAATGAAAATAAAGCTAAAAGAGTAAATAAAATATGCTACATTTGTCTCCTATTCAGAAGAACATTCTGAAATGTTAATTGTACTTAATGGCCAAAGAACCAAAAAAATAGGTGATTACGCAATAAAAAGGAGGTAATAAGAATTAGAAATAAAATAAAATAGGAAAACCATATTGTAGTGACGACTCTGGGTGACTCACCAGCTAATAAGGAAACAATGTTTAGTTTTATAATGAGAAATTATAAAAATAACATGAATATTCAGTTTCTAACATGATTAGTGAACGAAATATGGTTATGATCAGAAACTAGGCGTTCAGGATTAAGGTTAAGAAATGTGGTTAGGAGTGTTAAGGTTAGGAACTATGGTTTATAACGAACTGACACCAGCTATTGAAAAACGTGTTGCACTTTTAGTAGTTATAGTTACAAAGGTTGTGTCTTGGAGCTGATGTCACAATGAGTGAATACTTTTGGCCATCAAACAGCATTGGTTATACTTCAAATTACATTAACTGCTCATAGCTTGTTATCAGCTTAATTAAGACATAATCTTTCCTTCATTACATTTTAAGTTTCTCACAGAATTCAACAGATATTTCTCATATATGTAATTTATTCTGATTATTAATCAAAAATGGGTGTACAAACCAATATATAAATGAGTGTATTTCCGACGAGACTTGTTAGGATTGCTCGTGCTTCTAGATGCTTGCGGAATATATTTCTCCGTTTTGAACTTGAACTTCTCTCTCTCTCTAATTAGCCGGTTTGGGACTCATCAGAATAGCTAGGCAATTGATCTTTGATCACAGAGGTTTTGTTCCGTTCGAAGACTAGGTGAACTCATAATCGCTTCGAACATAGCAATAATTTAGTAGTTAAATAAAAGAAAGCTGAACATTTTCTGTGTAATCGAACAGAATTTATATTGTCAAAACAAAGAAAGATTGACAACTGTTTCTTTTTTAAATACATAAATCAAATTATGGATACCTGATAACAATAACTTCAAAGTTAAACTTAGTTGTTTCTTAATTACATGTTGAAAGACTTCAAGCTACTAGCCTGGCCCCATGTTTCCATGAGAAAGTTGAGTTATTCGGTGTTTCATTGATTTTCTGGATTGAAAGCTTTTTTTTGAACATTTCCAAAATATCAATGATAAGTTCTCATATTTGTTTTGTTAATAGATCTCCTTTGATAAGTAAATATAAATGAATGAGCATAATTCACCTGATATTGTTTGGCTTGTATCTTCCCATTGGGGTCTAAGACTGCAATTGATCAGTCTGTTATTGGCATATGTGCATACTGTGCGTATGCCTCAATATTGTTTTAATTCACAAGCTTTTTGTAAGCAGTGATGGATAGTGGCTAGCAGTGGAATCCGAGACGCGTGTTTCGTCCTATTTGGGACTCGTCAGCCGGATGTACCTGCATCATCCCATCGCACAAGCAAGTGGCTATCAGGAATCAGTAGCTAAGTGAATAAAGCGATGGCGTTTGAAGCGAATGGTGCTGGTTTCGAGTCCCAGAGTGAACATCAACTCTGAGATCTAGGTACATTCAGCTGACGAGTCCCAAATAGGACGAAACGCCCGTCCTAGATTCCACTGCTAGCCACTATCCATCATTGCTTGTATAAGCATAAGTTTGGAAACAGAACTTGGAGCCTTTTAGATATTTGATTTAAACACATTTACCATTCAATTGTCAATTATCATTATTGTTACCTTGATTACATCCTTAACTTTAGATGGATGATTCATTATTATTGTTGTTTTAATTAATAAACCATATGGTTTATTTCAATTAGGTAAGAAGTTAGTGGACAGTAAAATGAATGCACAATTATTTTATTTTTCTATTCAGTTATTAATTATTGTAACACATTTGAAATCTTGTTCTGATTGCCAAATTATTTTAATTATTTTTGCCGATTGTTATTAATTACTTTCATTATCTAATTGTGGATATATCGTCATATATATTTGCGAAGTTGTCAGATCACTTTTTCTTATGTTATTTCCTTTTTTCTTAGACTTCTTCAACTACTCTGGATAGCATTATTCTCCTACCCAACACACGAAGTACTCATTCAGATTAAATACTAACTACTACTGTGGTGCGTGCTACTTATATTAATATAAGTAGTATATGACGCGAGTCAGGAATGTAATGTCTGGCAGCAGAAGATGGAGAAGATCAAGAAAGGAAGAGCGGGAATAGAAAGCAAATAGTATAGAAATGCAGGAACAATGAAGTCTGAGACAGTTATTGGACATTTTGCAAATTAGGTATTATAGTATGATTTTTTCTATTTTACCAAGTAACTATAATGTTGTGCTAAATATAATTCGGTTGTCCTCACCTGTATTCTCCTTCACTACACTACATTTATCAAATGACAAGTTAATAAATAAATAAAATGATATACTGTATTCATCAAGTGGTGAAATTTTACCGACTAATTGTCATCTTGAAATTAAATGCAATGAATAATTATTTGAAATCTTGAACCGCTTGACGACTGTTTGCATAATTGATTCCAATTCTTTCAACGTATTATAACTCGTCCTAACTTTTCCAAATCCAACATGAAGTACCATTGAATTCAATCTATCAGATTGTGACTAAACTAATTATTGATTAAGTTTGCTTGAAATCAATATTTCCTATTAATATCAATCCATATATCACAACTTCTTTTAAAGTCAGACACGTACCCTTGATATCACTAGTATGAAGATGTAACTTCTTGGTATATAAAACATAATTTATTTTCTGAGTTTCATTACTGTTTATCAAATATTTAAGTATCATGTGAGTGAGTTATCAACCTTAGAGAAAATAAAAATCAATATCTGACAGAAACGAATATACAACCTGTCTGATATAAAGAAATTTAATATTTTATGGAATTCAACTGATTTCTTCTTTATGGGTTCCTAATTAACTAATTAATTTAAAACAGAAAAATAATCATTTGGATTGTGTTATTTTAAAGAATTATAGATATCAGAATAGGGTTGTAGAGATTGCTGAGTTTAATTTAATCACATAAAATGGATCAATGTTAAACCATTTGTCTTAGTATGGGACTACCCAGAACGATGTATTCACGACCCCGCACGTAGGACTCGAACCTATGACTTTGGGACGAACATCCAACAGTGCACTATTGATGTATCCCATACTAGGACGAAACGACCATCCACTTCTTTCAGGTTTTCACTAGTGGTCTTACATTGATACATTTATGATATTAATCTGAATTATGGATATATTTATAGGGTTTTTTCGAGTAAGTTGGTAGATGTTTTCTTTTTTTATATTTATTCTCACCTCTATTTTAACTAACTGTTGTACTGTTATTTAGCCGTAATATTCACCCGAATACTGTTAAATAATTTAGGGTTTATTTAATTGTGATCAAAAGTAAAATAGAATAATCGAAAATTGAATGTAAAAATGAAAAAAGAAGGTTGTTACGTTTTTTTCTTTCCAGTTTTCACAATTTCCATTCACAATGAAAAGTGAAATAAACACAATAATAAAATTAATGATGAGTGGTAATTGGTAGGATAATTATAGGTGACATGATAATTATTACTGATTTAATTTGATGATCAAAGTTCATTATTTTTGAAGAGACCACGATATCACCTAAACCGGCAAGCGAAGCGAAAGTCAACAACACAACAACAGGACCAGCTATGTTATTCTACTGAGCCCCAGCCCTGCTAACTAGAGAGAGAAGACCAGAATTTCGGTAGTTACTAGTGTTATGCTATTTAAGTCTGATTTTATTGAAATAGTACTTTTGTGGTGAATGCTACTTATTCTGACAGATATACGTAGTATGTATCATCAATCAGAAGTGGAATGCCTGGGATCAGAAGATTGAAACGAAGAGAACAAGAAAGTAACCAGAGAGTAGTTGAAGTAACAACAGAATCAGTAGAATAGTGAGGTATGTGGTCAACGCAAAGAAGCTGTGCATATGATTTAATTTATTTAATGTATGATTTTTATATTTCACTAGGCCACTGTGATTTCGCATTAATTTTCCCCAGATGAGTTTTCACTACACTATATTCATTAGGCTGTATGACTTTCAAGAGAATTAATATTTTACACTGATTTTTTAACTATTTTAGTAACGGTGTTAGTGGTATCTTTAAAAGACTTATCTTCCTTCCTATGATTAGAGGGACGTCACTAGTTACCATTGCAGGAATAATCAATACTACCCTACTTATTTTAAAATGAGGACGGTGAACAACACTTCGATATATTTTAATTCATTCTTTCTAAAGATCTGTTGTAACGGAGATTGTGGTTGAATGTAAAACCAAGTTAACCGGAATGAGGACCTCTCATAAAAAATTAAAACAAAGGCAACGAACAACTTAAAGATGATCTTCGGTTACTGAACAAGAATTTATTCCGGTAAACTTCTGATGATACTGAAAACAAATGAGGTTAAGAATGACAGAGCTTTCAAATCCACTTTGACTACCAGTGTGGCATCCATTTATCTATGTTAGTTATACATTTCAATGTTTTAATTGTTTAAACTCTCGACTTTCAACTATTATTTAGCTCGTTTGAACTTCACTCTTTTCCAAAAACGTTCATAGTAAGTGTGGTTCAGAGATTATTACATCATTATATGTCGCATAAAACAGTATTCTTGTAACCCAAAGTATGGAATGACATATTTTTATTAGGTAGAACCGCAGTTAACGAGAGCACAAGTGGGAACAACAAAATATATTTCAATACAAAATAACAGAATGTCTCAGTAAAATCTGAGAACCATACAATAAATACTTCATTCGCAAAATGTCAATCAATCGTCTCAGATTTGACTTTCCCTTCATTTCCACATCAATCATTGTTGTCGTTCTTCTTTTTCTATCCTCTTAACCTTCTGCCACCAAGCATTTCACTTCCGGCTAATGACACATGCTACTTATATCTGTCGACATCAGTAGCACACACCATAGAATCACATTCTCCTGATAACTAATAAACATGACTTTCTCTAGAGTTATGAATATTAATTAACAGCCTAGAAAATTCAAACTTTTAAAAAAACTTAACCTAAATCAGTGGTTGTCCGACTAGCAAATCTTCTTATGGTATATATAATTAAAAATAACAAGTATGTTGTGTTATATTTTTGTATTCAACATTAGATATAGTCAAACAACTGAATAGTATTAAAGACAGATTTTGTAACGGATTGCTATCACTTCGAGCATCAATGCAAAATCAACCATTGATAAATAACTGTTAGATCTAAGATTGCAACTCCTAGACAGTAAATACACACAAAAAAAAGATCTCAGATAGGATTAAATCTATGATCTTCAGGTAGTATATCAAGTAGATTTAAGAGAGATCAATAAGTGTTCTACGAATTCCATATTGTACTCTGAATAAAGCCATTTACCATTAAAAAGTTTTAAAAAAAGTCAAGAATCAATCATCCATATTTTCAAAATAACATAGTTTATGACTAAATTATCATTTAATTTATTTGTATACTCACCGGGGTTTCGTCTGTATGGTGAGAATAGGAGTTCTTGAGAATTGTTCATGTTTGCAAGTGTTGAATATTATCAGTCATAGTTAGATATTCAATGAACGTTTTAATAATTCAATCCTTCAATCTATGATCATTAGTGATCCAGATCAGGAAAAAAAAGATAGATCAGTAATTATTTGTTTATTTGTTTATTATTTATTTAAATAGTTATTTATTTCTTATAGAGGTGACCTAAATATTGATCGACCTAAAGTCAAACGTTCATTCACTTTGATTGGTACTATTATAATCTAAATACTAACAATCACATACCCCCTTTTTTGAGAAGAAAAACAAGTTTCAGTTTGTGTACTAGGAGAAACGTTTTAAGGTTTATTTACGTAAATGAAATTAACTATTGTTAAGGACTTCTTGTAAATGATAGATTGACTTTAAATCATCTATTAGGTGTGTTCAAAGCTAATTAATCATGGAAGGGAGTATATGAAGATGGTTAAACTTTAGCCAATATAATTCAAGACTCCTATATATTTGTATTTACTGTGTGTGTAATTTATTCAATTGGGGTAACATTGAAAGTTAGGGAGTGTTGGATAGTTGTCTTTCCTTAGTATAGGACTCTTTCAAAGTGTACACTCAGAGATGGGAACCAGAAATTTTAGGTCAAATTATGTGCATTAAACCATCAAATCACTGGATTATCATCCACTGATACATGTTTCAAACTTCAATCGATTCATAATGATTGTTTAAGGTCAATGACATGGCTGTTTTACTCCCAACATTTCTGAACTTCATAGGTTTTAACTTGCCGATAAAATTCTAGGAACATTTAAAGTTGTGGGTCTGCAATGTTGAGTCAAATATAAGGACGAAACAACCATCGAATGCTCCTAATTTTTTAATAATAAGTTAATTGTGATCAACCCGTAACAAATACCACCTACAGATAAAATTAAAGCCCAAAAAAACCTTTAAAGTAAAAGTATACTGAACTAGTGGATTTAATGTAGATATTTCTTACTGTATAGTCCTAAGTATTTTGTTTAGAAGGTGGTTTATTTTTACAAGTGAACATCTATTTGAATATTATTACAAACTCGAGAGAAGCACGTAAATGTTATAGTATAGTTTGGTGGTACTGATTATAAACTCTCAATCGTAAGCATCAGGTCTTTTTGTGAGTATGATGACAGTTAAAAACGGTAAACAATAGATTGGAATTTCGATTGAATGACATCTTATTCGTTATGAGATGTGAACGTTTTGCATTCTGTTTGAGCAGGTGAATTAGTTATTGTCCTTCAGAAATAAACTATAATGAAACAGACGTTTGTGCTCATTGGTTTCTAGTGGTTTCTCATTTCTCCAGTTTACTGAATTATAATAATCATCTGAATACATTAGATATTTAGCCAATTTACTATTAATTTATTCATAGTATGGTGTGTGCTAGCGATGTTTACAGATATAAGTAGTATATGTCAACAATCGAAAATGAAATGCTTAGAAAAAAGAGAACGAGAACAGACAATGATTGGTGTGAAAACGAAGGAACAGTCAAGTTTGATATAATTGATTAACACTTTTCAAATGGAGTATTTACTAAGACATTCGGTAATTTTGTATTAAGATACATTTGGTTGTCCCCTCTTGTGTTCTCGTTCATTAGAAGTGTAACAAGCTGAATAAGTTCAGTAAATTTACAATATCTTGATATTTGTCACTCAAATGATCATGGTAACATAGTTTGTATCAGCTAATGCTTTCTATCATGCTTTTACAACAAATTAATGGAAATCGTTAACATAGTTCCAACAACGAAATATTTGTTTTACTACTGGTTAATTTCAGGTGTGATATTCATAACACAGGGACTAGTATATAGAAATCGACTGTCGATTGTAATTACGAATCGCTGATTTCTCACACAGAATATACAAAATTGATATGTCTGCTGAAACACTGATTGAACGAAGAAAAGAAAATCAACTATGGTTGAACTTATCCACGATTTCATATTCTACAGTACATATTAACTCCGTTGGCCTTCTACTTACTCTCTAAACTTCATTTAGATAGGAGGTTGAATATATTGAGTGAAACTACCAGATTTGTGACTTCAATTTTCATCAAAATATACTAATCATAGAAGTTGAATTATGTTTAAGAGTTATACTACTTATAAGTACGTACACTACATGAATGAAATTTTTAAATCCGACAGAATTTTACAGTAAAATAAAGGTTGTTTATCGTGAATTTCCATATCAATTCAATAATGAGTTCACTGGGTATGGTGAAAATAGTGAATATTGACAGTATTTGTTAACGTTATAAATTATCACAAAAGACATATTGCTGATAAGTCTATTATATCAGATAAGACACTAAATTAATCATTCAATCATATCTTCATTTGAATTTGGCTATTCAACTTTTGAAGAAGAAATTTCATTCACTATACATTCGTCTCGTATCGGTGAATTTTACGAAAATATATTATTATTATTAACGGCCTTATTCAATAGCATATTTTGGCACAATATAGATTTTTTAGCACAAAAAATACTCCGTGAGAATAAGGAGTTGGAAAAAATGAGATTAGACTCATTGTATTGTGCCTCCCTACGGAAATCTTTAGTAAAAAGGTGAAAGATTTATCCGCGAATGAGGAGATACCAGAGTTTCGATGTGATATATGTAAACTTACATTCTAAACAAAAGATTGATTTTATTCAAAACCTATAAACAATTGTACATCAATGAAATATTATAGACATTTATTACCTTCTTCTTATTAATTTTTTTAGGACTTTACCCACGGTTTGTTTTTTAACATTCATATTCATGTTGAAACTGAAACGAAGGTAAATGACAATGAATTTTTGTTATTGAGGTGAACAAAGATCATTCATGTAGTTCATTCAGTTGATAAAGATAAAGGAATAATGATAGAGAAAAACAATTCTTGATCAGTTTATGTATAAATATTCATTATATAATTATAGTAGAATGATAATAATTAACCATTAACTATGAAATCATTATGTATATTGTGTTTACTTATTTCATTAGGTAAGTAGTGAATTCATGAAATTTCTTATTCATCTTACATTGTATTTTTTTGAAATTTCAGTATTCTGTATGAATAATGTAATGGAAGATTCTACACAACAGTTACAGGTTCAAAAGGTCAGTAAAATCAATGAAAATTGTCTGATTGAATATTTAATTAAGTTGAGATATTTATAATCTCTGTTTTTCATATGAAGTAGACTGAAAGATTACAACTTTCTAGAACTATTTCCTAGAGTTCTTATGAAAAGCAGTTATCAGTGGAATTCGACTGGGTCTGTTGTGAGACGGTAACCCACTGGAGACAAAAGTGTATGTGTCGCTCAACTTCGTGGATTAATTGAAGTTAAGTATTTACACCATTGGATGCTGGCTCATTAGTCTATTGTTTAAGCATTTGAGCATGAGACAGATAGTTTCTTGGTTCAAATCTCGTGAGGCGGGATCATGGATGCGCACTGTTGAACATTCCCATAATAGAACGAAACGGCCGTTCAGTGTTTCCAGGTTTTCCATGATGGTCTAGCTTCAATTGACTCATGAATTCGACTATAAAATTACTAAAATCTCCACGAAACCCCTGATAATTCATTAGATCATTCATAGATCAATTGTGATTTTGTAATGCTATTTTATACTGATCCATTTGATAACATTAGTTGATATAATTTTTTATTACACATGATTTAATATGGATTATTTTAAATATTCATGAGGGTATTGTATGGAGAGGTGAGTTGCAACTTTGGATTGAACACTAAAAATACCAAACTAATTCTCATTAATATACAGGAAAATCAAGTCACATAGTTTCTGGCAAATTCCTACAGTCACACAAATCTATATTACGAGTATGAAACGATTGAAGAGAACCAAAATATAAGATTTCATTCAAGTGTGTATAATTTAAAGGGATAAAGATCTACATACATTTCACTGTGCATGTTTACACTGGTACTGGACCGAATCGCCTATAAGTTTAAAAGTCAACCCGTTGTTTACTGTGTTACTGAGTCCAAATTTAATAAAAAATTGTGTATAAATGGCAAAGTCAAAAGTATCCTCTCATGATGTTCATGTGCTAAATGCATACTAATTTAATACAGCCATTATGATCAGCAACAAGAAAGTATTAATTGTTAAAAGTAATGATAAAATGTTTCGGTAATTTAAGTTAAAAAGTCGATTTCAAGCCAAGATAGTTATCTATATGAAATAGACGAGATGTAATTAGAAATGAAATCCATGACACACATTTCTCCCTATTCGGGACTCGTCAGATGGATTTACCTGAATCCTTGAGTTGATATCCTCTCCGGGGACTCATTTCACTATCTTTTTGCTTCAATTGCCATCCAGTTAACTATTGAGTCCAAGTAGTCATTCACTCTTGCAACAGACTGGGCATCAACTTTATGATACCAGTACATCCAGCTGACGAGACCTAAATAGAATGAAGCGTGCGTCATGGATTCCACTGCTAGTTATATCCTATCTGTTTTATGCAGATAACTATACTGGATTGAAATTGATTTTATAACTTAAATTAACGAAACATTTTATTACTACTTGTAACAATCAATACTAACCTGCGGCTACAGCAAGACAATCCGCATAGGATATACATATGTCAATCAAGACTGATCAAATCTCAGTCAAAATATTAACAATGGGATAATCCAGGTTATTACAAGTTTAGATCAATATATTTATTGAATGATGTGCTTAGACTAAAACATTCAGTGTTCTACGTTCATATTTTACTCAAAAATCCATTAAGTTTTGATATACCATATTAGATTGATAAGACTAAGCTCAAGTAACTGGTTATTTGTGAACAGTGTGGAAGCTTCATACTCGAACGGTTTTGTTAGGTACTAGAATGATTAAAACTTGACAGAATTGCAGATTAGTTCCGATTTTATTTTAATATATACTGAACAGATTATTTATACACGATTGAATACGTGCCAGTGTTAAATAGATCAAAATTACTTTCTGACATTTTATCTTTCTGTTCAATTTATCCTTTATAAATTATTTCTTTAAAAAAAGCAGGATCTTAGAAGACGAAGTCAACCAAATCTTTATCGTAAGTGTACTTGTCTTCATTAAACTACAAATATATCAGAAGGGGTTTTGTGGAGATTTTAGAAATTTCACTGATTGAAATCATAAGTCAATTGGAGCTAGATCACCATGAAAACCTGGAAGCACTGGACGGCCGTTTCGTCCTAGAACGGGACTCCTCAGCAGTGCGCATCCACGATCCTGCACTCCGCGAACTTCGTGGATTGGTTGGAGTTAGACATTAACACCGTTGGATGCCGCCCCAGTGGTCTGGTTGGTTAAGCACCTGGCGCTGGACCGATAGGTTCTGGGTTCGAGTCTCACGGGGTGCGGAGTCGTGGATACGCACTGCTGAGGAGTCCCATGCTAGGACGAGACGGTCGTCCAGTGCTTCCAGGTTTTTCATGGTGATCTAGTTTCAATTGACTTACAAAATATATATTGATACGGAATGATTTTTGTGTATATTTGTATCAGCTTTGAAATACACAATTTAGGAACTGTTTTATTTGTATTGTCAATTAAATAAGACAGAATCACTTCAAGGAATTTTCAACACATCGAATCTAATATTCTCAAATGAAATGTTGTATATTAATGAATCGATTGAGAGAAACCATGATGTATATAAGTAACAAAATATATTTCTTTCAAACACCGTAATTTAACATTTAAGGTAATTTACAAGATAGATTTTAATGAAGTTTCAATGAAGATTTAGTGATACATAGGATATTTCATATAGTCACAACAACCAGTCTAATAAAGAAATCTAAAATGATATAAAAACGATTTAGTAAATAAATACTTTGCATTATGTAAACATCCTCAAACTCTTGACTGGTTCAAATGATTAGCACTGTGTTCTTTAATAGTTTCGTAATGATATTTGTGTGTCAGTTGAATTTGTGACCTGATAAAAAATATGTTGAGAAGAATACTCATTGTTTATATATCTGTTAGTTCATTCGTGGTTGGTTTCGTCGAATAGACTATTTGCAAATACTTTACGTATCTTATTCAACAAAACATACAAGGAATAGACATGTTAGTTGACTTCAGGCAATTTTAATTGATAACATTATGTGTATTGGCGATAAAAGTAATGATAAGTGAGATAACTGAACTATCGATTGGGTTTCTCAGACAATTACGATAACCCCAGACTAAAGGCCCTCGTCAAATTGAATACAACAGTAGAGGTCTAGAGTGTTTTAAAGCATAGACTGGTGATAAAGATTTATTTGACTCCCAAAATAAATCAATAGATGAGTTATGAAGACACCACATAATGTATAGTTTATTTTCAGTCGAATTAACAGCCAGATTTGTATAAATTGAATTGATCGAAGGTCCTCGATGCGCACTTCTGAGGAGTTCCATACTAGGACGAGACGGCCGTCAAGTGCATCCAGGTTTTCCATAGTGGTCTAACATCAATTAATTCATGAATCCAACTAATAAATTACTACAATCTCCACAAGACCCCTTCCTGATAATAACTTACTATGTGACTACATATTTACTAATTAAGCATCAGTAATTTTACTTAACGTGTAAATAAGTGTCACAAACGATTGAGAAATGTCAATTTTATGTGTCATTCGGACTCCAATGAATGAAGTTATTCCTCTCCATATCAAAAATTTTCAATCATTTAAACATTTTATTACAGAAAGGCACTGTACTATTAGATCTACCACTTTGTTCCTCCATTACAAATTTCAATTGTTTTAAAATGAAGAATCAACTATTAATGGAAGCCAGATAGTTTATATAAAGTAATATAATATAAATCATATCATATATTGTATATATTGTTTTTTTTCTCTCTCACAATTTAGAGTGTATGGCATGCGTATCCGGTGTTGAACAAGCCAAAAATATAATTATAAGTTCATCAGCAAACGTATCAATCAGTGGTATAATTAAAAATGTTTGCATGGGAAGTGGTCCATTTAATACCTCAGTAAGTAATTATTAACTTCTTTTAATATCAACTTAATCATGCATATAAATGTGTCTTTCAGTAACTATGATAGAGTAAGTGGTTTTATAAGTCAAACGCAAAAAAATTAACAACGAAGAATTTTGATAGTTTGTAGAGCCCTTAATTTTGTTGTCATTTAGATCGAACGATGTTGTCGAAAGGGCTCTCTACTTTAGTGGCCCGAGATCTGACTCCAAGGAGATTGTATTGATGATTGTTGTTGAAATATATATGTCGCCTATCTTCGTATATAATCATCGACTTTAATAGCGTTAGTCAGTAACGGATTTAGATAAGTCAAATAGCGAGAATGGACTTTTGAATACATATATTTTGTATATGGAGCGAATGGAATAGAGAGAAGAGAAACGACGCGCAGTAGAGATGGCTGGTAAGCCAACTCCCATTTAGCCAAGCGTTAATCAATATTTATAGTGACACAAAAATAGGTTACAGACATATAAGTAGTGGGATAAGAAGTGTACAAACACATATGGCTCATATAAAAACGGTGAAGATTGATAAGCGGATAATTAACAAGGTCAAAATGTGACTCAAGTAGGATGAACAGATTGGGCTGTCCGAAAGCGAGAATAAGGTATATGGGCTTAACATAATAACCGACACCAAAAGTTTTATTCTCTGAGCTAGACGATCAAACCATCCAGCTCAGAGAATAAAACTCCATCAAAATCATTCACCTGAACTATGAATCTTCCCCACCATTACATAACCAAGGATTTCATGCATAAAAATTCGATTGTTTAACTGATGTTAGACTTTGTAACAGGAAGTAAACGTTAACTGAAGCTTTTAAAATTGTAAACTAATTTTTCGAATCAATAGCATCATACTCTCTTGTCAGACCAAAAAATTCTGATACTGGAAAGTTTCAATGCTTAACAGTTTCCTGGATTTTAATTAATTTCTTGACAAACAACAGTCATTTAACAGCGATCATATTGTTATCGTAAACTTATAGGACCAATAGCCATTACTATAAAATATGAAACCAATGTGAGAGATAAAAAAAAGACCACAATATTTCAAATTATCAGTGGTAATGGACTAGGTGTCGGTGCATAAAATATCATCTGAAAATATAGTACATTATTACGTGGAGTCTAATGTATAGGATTTGATCTTACATAACATCGTGAATGTATACTACTTAAAACATGACAACAATGAAAGTATTCTTCGATATACCTTAGTTTTCAATATCTGTTTAGTCACTATCAATTTATAATACGATTTCAAAATAAACAAGAATGAATTGCATAATATCATTGAAGGATTATTCTATTTGTCTTGGATTATTTTCATTGCTACCGAATAACTTCTGATATCAGAAATAGCTTTACTAACAAACTTTTACCTACTTAAATAGTCTAAGACTTGATACATTATACATTATATTTGTTGACTCTTCAGTGTCAGCAATATTCTAAGTGCTCTTTGTTGGATATGAGATATTTAGAGGTGGTAAACGGAAAGCTCCAAAACTTATATCTTGTTCTTATCAACATCTATCAATGAATCGTACTTGAAAAACCAAGGGAATTAAACTACTCAATTCCTTCAAGTAATGATTTCATCGTTGAGTTTATTTAACGGTGAGTAATTTACTGTTAAGGAAGATTATATAATTTATCAAGTTACAGAATATACCTTATTTATTACATTTCTGAATCAATTGATCATTTTCAAGCCATTAATCAATAATCATTGGTGCCTAGATTTCTTGATATCATCTTCTAATCTAAACCAGATTTTTGGTTGTATATTACATTCTTGTTTTTGAAAGGTCGATTTCTCGACCATTTGTTGCCATAAATAAAGAGTTGTGTTTTTAAAGTCGATGGCAAGTTTTCTCTGTTTCATTGACCTGACTATTTAGCTTACTCATATCAAACTACAGAAGTTGGTAATGATTAATAAACTAGAATGTATGTTCGTAACTTTGATCTAGTCGACTTAAATGCGTGATTTTAACAAATGCAATAAAGGGTATTAACAGTGAAATATAACAGATAACTTTCTTTACAGTCAGTCATTCAAAATAAACTTTGCGTTTAATCATTGTATCGAAAACTTTGAATATCCAGTCTATTTGTGACTTACATTTTACTTGGGACAGGTTGCTGTAAATATGGGGTTTTCTGATAATTTGTTCGATCATCTCATCATTAGTATGTATAAGTCAACTTGTAAAGAACCACTGTTTATCACACTTGAAGTGAATATGTAATTTAGAGTAAAAATGTTTATTTTTCGTAAACAAATAACTGCTGGATGATAATTCGTCATCAGTTGAAGTACCCATCCTTTCTCATTTATAGTTAATCCCATTACGAATAGTATCCAATAGCCTTTGAGTTTACAATACAATGCCATAGATTACAGACTGAAATTTGTAACTCTCATCAACTTTCCTCATATCACAATTTATTCTTTACTGTAGCACGTGATACAACCATTTCAGGGAATGTTTTGTGTGCCAATAATATGAAAACAAATTATTCCAACATGAGATAGTTGTTCCTGAATAAATCAAGTAAAGATATTTTAGGTTGACCGATTAAAAAATATAATAGGCACACACTCATGATGGGTTATAGTCTACGATGATATTGCATGAGCTGAATTATATTGACACTGCTTATCAACTAGAACTTTTATTCTAATATTGAGTTCAACTTATTTATGCCTGTTACCCCTCGTGGAGGAGTATAGGCTGCTCATCAGGATTCTCCATTGAACTCTGTCCTGGGCAATATTGAGTTCAAGCAAGTGGGAAATCTTAGTATTCTTCTTTTTCACTTGAATATTTCTTTTTTCAGTGTGGAATGTTTGTGAATGGACTTTTGTCAAATATCTTTTATGTAATCCAGGAAGTGATACCACATGATTTGTGTGCTGTAAGTCGATTCAGGATTCCTTTCACTTGAATATTATTACTTTTATTATTGTTTTCACTAATTAGACTGTGTTTGGAAGATTTCCTGTTTGTATGAAGTTGACAAAATGATTGCTAAAATAAAATTTAAGTTGTCATATAATCCTCTATAGTGAGTTTCAGATTATTGAGCATGAAATTAACTTGACAAGCTGCACGACTAAACTACAGAATGTATCATCTTTCAACCCTAGTCATACTCTTTATAAAAACCGAAAACACGGTTAACTACGGTTATCTTGAATAATTAGTTATTTAGTCTATTCATCTGATTGCTATCTGATTGAAATAAACCAGAAATATATGTAAAACGTGAATAGTTACCCTATAAAGACTCATTCAACCGATGAGCGATTCACTTAGTTGTTTGTATAACAACTGTCAGATTGATTATTTTAGGTTCAACCTCGATTCGGGGTCTCTTTCAACATCACTCATTATCTTTGGGTAAACGACAACAGGTTAATTGTATAGGTATGTCATAGTTCCACTAACCATTTTAAAGACAACAAGAACAAAAGTATAGATATGTGACTGGGTATTTTAATAATCAGTTTATGAATGAGTTTATGTAAAGCTGGCAGATAACTTGTTGGGAAAAAGTGTGTTTATTTTGAGATAGCATTATAATCAAACACTATGTAAGAGGATAGACCAAGAGCAATGAAATGTACCTCTATATACTAATGGAAAGAAATTGACGATAATTAACAATTTACAAGAGCAAATTTAAGATAGTCTGAGAGTATAAAGCAGAAACATAATGATTAAGTACTAAGTACAAAATGAATTGATAGAAAATGTCAGTATGCCTCCCATTTAATGAAGACTAAAAATAATTTTATTCAGTTTCATACGCTACTGAACTACTTGAAGGTTTTGTTACTAATTTATAGGGAGTAAAATGATTTACGAAGACAAATCTACCCTCATATGAGAATCCTAGACAGAAATCACAGTAGTTGGTTAACAAAAGTTCTGATTTACAAGTAGGAACTTTGGAGCTAATTGTGTTTTTAATGAGTATAAAAGTCCAATGTTCCCATGAAATGATTATTATACCGCATAGTTACGCTTATTTGTACTTCATTATTGAATCAGTAAAGCCATTACCACAATACGAGATTTTTGATGATTCTATGATATTCTAGATGTTGGTTTAATTTTACTTTGTTGATATAATGCGGCAACTTGTACAGATCAACTTTTGAGTCAAACCGTAACCTAGTTATCACCAGCTTCATGGGATATGAACTTAAGTTCGTCTACGTTTGAAATGATTCAACTCCAAACAAGATAATTATAAAGAACTCTCATTTTCAATAATTCGTCAGCTGACATCAGTTCATAATGAAAGATTGTCTGTCAAAATATGCTATTGAATAGCTTGAAAACTAATCAAAATTATTCTTATTTTGTTGATCCTTATCGTATACTGTTACTACATTGATCATAAATAATCAATAAAATAGTGTAAAATTAGAAATTTTGGACTTTCAATAATTGATCACACCTTAAGATTCCGTGATATCGAACTTTACTTAGTATAAAATGAATAAAGATTATTCAAGCTATCTGATACACCTAACAGGTATAAACCAATCAATAAGTACAAGCCAGTAATATAATCTTGGATTCAATGTAATGAAATCATTAAAGTGACTAATTTGATGACTGGATGCATTCTAATATTTAGTTAATTGAACAGAAATGTATTGTACATTCAATAACAGTTTAGTTAAAAGTAAACATTGAAAATCGTTAGATTCCCTCTGTTTACTTTTCATTTATTTGAATTTTGTTAAGTGAAATGAATGAAGTATCTGTTGATGCCACATTGATGTTTACATCACTAGCTTGAACAATAAACGGAATTTCACCGAAACTTAATGTGTTCACATTTCGCAATTATCATTTTCATTAAATTACATAACTTGACTAAGTTTGCTTTCTTTCAAGCAAATAAATGTTAGAGATGATCACGGTAATTTACTGAAAGAGGCAATATAAATCTCTCTGATGTTGTAATCAGGTCTTAATCGAAACATAAAGTTATTCACAAGTCATGAAATACGTGCATTTTATCTACTGGCATTAGTTGTCGAACTTTAATCTTACATTAATAACTTAACTCAGTTTGTTTTTTATAGTTTTAACTTGAAAATGTGTTATTATTAATTTATCAATACGGGGGTCATGGAAATTGCTGAGAATTATTGAGATCACGAACCGATCTAAGTTAGACAATTATTGAACATCCGAAAGTACTTGACAGCTTCTTATCCTCGTATGGGGCTCCTCATCAATGCTCATCTACCACCTCGCCCTTAAGGATTCAACCCAGGATCTTCTACATTAGGCCAAAACCCCATACTAATCATCATCATGTGCTCATCAGTGACCGGCTTCGAGAGGAAATTTCCTGGGTCTTAATGATAACCCATTACCAGTGGAGTTTAACTGTGTTGACTGTGAAGAAATTACTCATCAAACAAAATGGATGATGGTTGTGCGATACTAATGATTGACTGAAGTCAAACTTATAGATCATTGAATCCCAGCTCGGTGTCCTGAAGATTTGGCGCTTGTGAGTGAGACAAGAGGCTCTGGGTTCTATATCTTCTGTGGCTGTGAATCCTCAATGGTAAGGGCTTCCATACTAGAACGAAACAGCTGTCCAGTGCTCCCAGATTTTCAGTAGTTGTATATCTCACATTGATCAGTGATCTCAACAAAACAACATTAATAAATTCATTGAGTGACTAAATATTAAATGATTGATTGTTTTTCAGACATTCGATTTTTGTGATTACCCACCTGAGATATCTGGTGAGTTTATAATATTTTGTGTAACATTTAGGTAGCCTATAAATTTACCGTAATTTCTGTTTATATTTATGAGGCTTGTGATTTGATGCTATAAAATATCGTATCATGATAATTAAAACAAGAAATCATGCTTTATCATAAGACTGGAGTAAACTTGCTTACTATCATCTCTTTTATGGCTAGCAGTAAAATTTGGAATACATAATTTGTTTCATTTTTTTTCTCATAGGTTGGTTACACTTAGATTTCATTGTTAATGTTCAAACTGTGACTCGAAATCAGTACTTATGGTTTTGAACGCCTTGTTCTTTACTAAGCTACAGAGTCTAGATAGCACCAACGTTTTAACGTGTATAAACTTTCGTATTATCAAATTCGAGTCTTCATTTAGTCTGTCTCTATTGGAATCTGTGCATGGTAATTGTATACTTTGGAGACAATGCAAGTAGAATAGAGAACGTGACTTTAAGATTTTTGTACGGAATTCAAGTATCATATATGACAATTAGTAAAAATGCATTTATATACTACGCAAAACATTTAAAATGGTAGCGAAACATTACTCTTTTTTTAACCATATAGTAAAAATGATAATGTCGAACTTATCGAACTCTTTAATATGTTACTTTAGATTGTTTATGAAACGGAAGTCGACGTTCATCCAATCAAAGTTAACAATGCCTAAAGTAGGTATATACATTAGTGTGTAAGAGACATGTGGTGTTAAGATAACAGATTGTGTGTATACGTCGGTGAGAAGAAGTAATTTCGTTCACTATACATTTGTCTGGTGTCGGTGAATTTTACGAAAATATATTATTATTATTAATGACTTTACTCAATATTATATTTTGGTACACTTTTCGTTTCACACCACATATCTCTTACACACTAATGTATAGACCTACTTTAAGCATTGGTAACGTTGATTAGATGACTTATTCAGTATACAGTAAACCGGAGGATCAGATACCTATTTATATTCGATGAATTTGATATTTGATTATTATTTCCTTAAGAAAACTTACACCAGATTGCCAGACGAAACGTTGAATTTACTTGAAATTCATTTGCTGAGATTTTACAAATACATTCTCTCTCTTTAATGTTTGACATTAACTCGGTGCCCAAATATTGTGAAACTATTCAATCAAATTTAGACGAAAGTTCTTATTTGGAAGTCGACATTATTCCTAAAACCTAACCACAAATCCATCATTCTGAAATAAACGTAACTTTAGTGGCATTATATTTTATAGATGGACTAATCTGATATCACCATTCATATTTTTGTGTGAAATTTTTACTTTATAAATGATATCAGTTCGTGATAAAAATTCAAACACTAAATACCTAACGCTTACTGGAAACAGCCTGAAAACTATTAAAAATCGATTTGTATCTTTTTAAGGGTTTAATGAAATAGACCATCTCTATTTATAAGAACAAGTTTCTCTGTCTTTATTCTTTGGGTTTACACTCTGGCTAACCTGCAGAAGATAATAAAGTATTTAGTAATTATGTAAAATCTGTTTATACTTCGTAATATGGTTATTTCTTTTTCCAAAAACCATCCACTTATAAACGCTTTTTGCTGATTGACTAGAAACTAGTTGGAAATTTGTTGCAGTTGCTTTAAATTTGTCACTGTACAATACTGTCACCCTTCTATAATGATCATATACACAAGTTTTACTAAGCCTCTGAATATTTGATTAGCTTAATTTTCCATAAACTAATAAAAAAATGATGATAAGACATACTGAAGAGTTTCGAAACAATCTCGAGGTATCCATTCAAAATTCATATACAATAACAAAAGTTGATTAAATGTAAGCAAAGACGGATAGTGGCTAGCAGTGGAATCCAGGACGCACGTTTCGTTTTATCTGAGACTCGTCAGATGGACGTATCTGTATCCCAGAGTAAATCTTCACTCTGGGATTCGAACCTAGTACCATTCGCTTCAAACATAATCGCGTTACCTACTTAGCTACTGAAGAGATACAAGTAAAACAACACCAAGTGAATTTGATTAAATGTAGTTCTAATTATCAACTTTTTTTTGCATACTGATCAAAACTCTTTTTTCTGTACGGTATTTAGTTTGTGAATATTGCCTCAAATCTGGACTTTCAATCAAATCAATATTATTGTCGGAAACTTTTGTATCCGAGTTATATAATAATACATTAAATATGTGTAATACACAACGCAATCAATCACTCATTGTAAGTTTATACTTGTCAATATTTATATTTGTTTTGTTTATTGATTTGATAATGTTTTAAATTATTGATTTTCATATATATTGATTATGAATTATTGATTAAATTTATTCAAATATTTATTTAGCTTAGTTGAAGTATACACGTTTTATTGTTTTACCTAGTTCCATTATTTATTTATTTATTTATTTATTACAGTTCATACATTTAAATGTTTACTTTATGTATGATCATTGGGTTTCTTTTTATTAATTGAATAATTGGAAGTCATCTTATCCTAAGTTATGATGAGTTTGTTGAGATTTAACTGTAACAAATCCCAGAAGAACCTAATAGAAGATGTTACTATTAGAAATAATTACTCTTTTAGTTATTGGGTTTTGTTTATTAACTACTACCGACCTGCTGAGTCATCTATATCTGGATTCTGCCCAGCAGACGCACGTCCCACCGCTCCTCTTCGTCGACAACACCCTCTACAGCCAACGCCGCCCGGCCAGAACATTCCACTTAGCTCTACCTCTTCGCACCAGACTGTCCCAACCAGCACCACAGCTCCGGGCCCACAACGGCACCCCTTCCCTCCTGGTTGGCAGTGATACCAAATGTAGTGAACAAAAATACCAGTGGGGACAATCAAATGTATTTAACACAAAATTACAGGATTTGTTAATAAAATCTAACAATCATAAAATAAATGCTTAATTTGCACAATGTCCATCAATTGTCTCAAAATGACTCAGACTTCATTGTTCCTGCATTTTCATACAAATTGCATTTTTTTTTCCATTCTATACTGTTCGATCCTCTTGTTTCTCTGTTTCCAGACCTTCTGTTTACGACTAACACATATATACTACTTATGTCAATATAAGTAGCACATATCATACTACTTATCAGATATTCATCTCGGAATCAGATTAAATGGTACAATGGTTTTTTATTCCATTGTTTCATAGTTAAAGGGATTCAATTAGAATTGATTGTCTATAAAATTAGTAATAATAATTTATGATCTGGGCTCAAACACAAGAGACAATATGTTATTTCGATTCCGTTGAAATCATGAACCGATTAATGTTAGATCATCATTGAAAACCTGAAAGGACTAGACGGCTGTTTCGTCGCAGTATGGAACTCATAAACGGTGCGTATCCACGATCCCGTACGCGGGATTTGAACTCAGCATCTTCAGTCTTGCGTGCAAACGCTTAACCTGTAGACCATTGAGCCGGTATCGAACGGTGTTGGTGTTTAACGCCAACAAATCCACAATGTAGCGTGACCATGTTGTTTCAGGTTGGTTGCAGGCGGGGACTTATTATTACTCATAAAACAAGAGTCCATAAATTATTAGGGAACTTTTGCAAACATCCAATATCTAGTATATTCCATTGTTTATATTACGGACTGACTGTAATTAGACAACAATGGAAAACCAGAGAGCTTTGGACATCTTATTTGTCTTAGTAAAGGACTACTGGGCAGCATGCACACACGACATCTCTTGTGACGGAATAAAGAATTTTCAATTATTGTAGAAAAAATCTAAACGTTCAAACCATTAAGTTGGTATCCATAAATCCACCAGCTATGTAGACATCCATTACTAAGAAAACAAAGACATCCAAAAAGATTGGGACTAAGAAGGTAATCCGAAACGTGATCTGACAGTTCCTGTATAGATGCTGCTACTATGAAGAACGTGAACCAAAATGGCCTTAGTTAAATCAATTTGTTTATGCAATAGATTTATGCAGTTCGCTATTTATGCCTATTGCTAAATCAATCATCAACGAACGTCTAATTTAGGACGATGGAAGCATGAAATTGTGGAAAATATTCAATACCTTGAATTAAATTTTATGTACATTTGACAATAGCTAGCAGGTACTGATATCATATATACTGAAACTCAAACCGACAAACAGTGACCTCAAATGTCATAGTTTGAGTCACTAAACCGAATCAAATTTCACTTTAGTTTATACATCTTAGTTACTGTTTTCTAGTTCAGGAGAATATCCCTGTATTTGATTCTTAGTAAAATGAAGATAAAGATATACCTATTTAAAATGTTTCAGATATTATATAATCAAAAGTTTGGATTTTACTGTAGAATAGTTGCAAATAATGAATTAATTAATCAAAATTAAAACAATCCAGTGAAAAGAATCATCAATTTAATGATGTCATTTATTAAAACCATATATAATTGTTTATAATTATATTATACAGTATTTTATATTCATTTTCGTATGGCTGAGGCTTCAATAAACCTTAGCATATATTCTTTAACACTTGCACGACACTACAAAAGCCGTGTTAAAATCAATCTTGTGACCTATCTCAACGATGTATTTGACAATAGACGATGATAGATATTTATCATTTACTCTTATTGGGTCATTTGATTTTATTTGTTTCTGCAATCGTTTAGGTACATGTTTACACACCTTAATTTGGAGATCACGATTACTGCTTCCTATGTGTGTGTGGCAACACTCACAGTGGGATGTGACGCAATTGTTTTTATGTCTTTTAGGTTTCTGGTGAAGCATCGACTTTGTTTCTTCCTTGAGAATAATTTTTTACTGAATAATACGTTTTGTCAATAACCGCTTAAGCTTTTTTTCAATAAAAGACTATTTGAATCACCTCTAAATGGTAAGGTGATGTAGACAGGCATTTTGTTTGAGCCAAGGCTATAATGGGTCTCACTATACCATGACCTTTCCATCGATATATAAGTTTTAGAGGATAATCATTTTACATTATTGTTTTATTCAATAACCTTATGTCATCTTTAATAGAGTCTTTTGTGCAAAGACGATTAATCTTGTTAAATAGACTCCTTGTTATATAGTTCTGATCATTTTCAACTTCTTATTATATCCTATCAAAATTGATCAAAGGGCTTAATTGTTTCAAATTTCACATCTCTCTTCTATATTTAATTTGCATTTTGTCTTTGTTTTATAACACCTCAATCTTGACTGTATTTTTCTTTTATTTTTAGTGTGGTCCATTCCTACATGATTTGTTCTTGGCAATAACATTGAGCTTCAATAAACAATTTCTTATACAACGCCTTTGTCAGGTAATATAACCAGGGTGTATGTGATTTTTTAATTAGATATAAATATTGTTTCATTAAATGAAGTTCCATTCAAAAATGAAAAACTAAAACTAAATTGTTTATCAGTATAGGGTTGTGGAGATTGTTGAGTTTTGATTAAGATTATGAATCGATCAATGTTTGACCACCATTGAAAACGCTCAAGCACTGGATGGCCGTTTCGTTCTAGTATTGGACTTTTCAGCGTTCGCAAGCAAGACCGAAGGTTTTGAGTTCAAGTCCTCCGTGTGCGAGGTCATGGATACATTTCTGAGGAGTCTCATATTAATACGAAACAACCATCCAGTGCTTTCAGGTTTTCCAATGGTGGTCCAAAACTAACTGATTTGTGATCTCAATCAAAAATAATATAAGTAAACCGAGATTTAGTGGAATGCTGAGAATAAATGTAACTGTACACTTGAAATCTATTTTGATCCATGTCACATTCCTAACCATAAACTATTACACTGATACTAACAAGGAAGTGTGTATTTATAAACATGAATTATACTGACAGTTCAGTTCATAAAATCAATGAATTTTACCCTAAACAAGTAGTTTTTACCTGATGGAATAAGTTATCACGGTGTAGTGAACAAGAACATCAGCGGGGACAATCAATTGTGCTAGACACAAAATTACAGGATTTGTTAATAAAATCTAACAATCATAAAGTAAATGCTTAGTTTGCAAAATGTTCATTAATTGTCTCAAAATGACTCAGACCTCATTGTTCTTGCAATTTCATACAAATTGCATCCTGTTTCCATTCTTTACTGTTCGATCCTCTTGTCTCTCTGCCGTCAGACCCTCTGTTCACGACTAACATCAATATATATATATATATATATATATATATATATATATATATATATATATATATATATATATATATATATATAGCGTCAATATAAGTAGCACACCACAACTGTTTCCATGATAAATTTTATTTTAGGCAGTTAAAATCCATCAAAGTATTTCGAAGTAAAGCCTGTCGAATATTCTATACGCATAATTATCTCCTGGTTATGTAATAATAAATTACCACAGTACAACCATTTATTGATTTTATTATTCAGATTGTGAAGAGTCAATCAGTTAGTAACTTTGTTATAAGATAATTGATTTCCATCGGTGATTGTTATACATTTTAGTTTTCTTATAATTTCCTTTTTATAATAAGAACTTTTAAATCATTCAAATCTTTATCTGTTTTGTTTTTGGCTTTATGATAGAATGCTGGATTTTGTTCAAAAGTATAACACTTTCAATATGGATGAATAACATTTCCTAATATAATCGACTATAATATGAAATATTGATTATTTTTCTGATTACTAAACAAATATACTGTTGAAATGTAAACAACCTTTTTGATAGTAGTATAGTAAATTATTATCAACTTTCAATAAATCACTTATATTCATGTAATTTTATTCTAATTGTTTAAATAGCTGTCTTCTAAAATAAACCCCCTTAAATAACTCTAGGAGTTACTTACTAATTATTGGTAAATGATTATTATACAGGTTGCTCAATCATTGTGAGTCAATATAAAATTCTTCTGTAACTCAGATACAAATTCATTAAAGAATATAAATTGTATAAATGCTTAATTCAAGCTTGTTACTATATACCAAACTTACATAAGGATCAAGCTTATAACCTAAGAGTTTCTATCAATGACACTGATTTTTAACTTTCAAAGTGTATTCGTTCTTAAATTTTTCATTAAGTAGTCATGTCTACATTTTAAAATTTTCAGAAATCTTCCTTAATCAAAGTCAGTAGAAGTTTCGATAATGCAATGAGAAGACGTCGTTTATCAGAATTATGTGATATATTTGCGCAATACATTTCGAACAATCTGATCACACATATACTTGTTAAGGACATTTATATGTGAAAATTAAAAGGTAGAGTAGAAACGAAGATCTTGACTGATGCGTTAATGAATAATGGTTATTCTTTGGAGTTCATAAACCGCTGGAAGGGTTACAATACGACTAAACCTATGACTCTTCTGGCACCCAAAAAGCGAGTTTATATTACGTTACCATTCAGAGGAGACTCAAATAGTCTCATGCTGAAACGGAGACTTAAATTAGCTATCAACTGGACATTTTATGCAGCCCAACTTGTTATTATCGAAAAGACAAGGTCTATGTTTCACCAAAAGCCCGAACAGCACGAAAGTGATTGTGTCAAATCCCATTGTGTCTATCAATTTACATGTATGTGTGGAAACACGTACATAGGGAGGAGCAATCGTGATTTGTAATTAAGGGTGGGTGAACACATAGCAAAATAGTTGCAGAAACAAATAGATTCCAATGGTCAAATAAGATCACATGATAGACAGGGATCATGTTCCATTGCGAAACATTTGATTGAGACGGGTCATGTAGTTGACATCAAATCAGCATTTGTAATGTTATACAAAAGCCTTCAAGGACGTATACTAAGGTTTATTGAAGCCTTGGCTATACGGAAATTGAAACCCTTTTTTGTGTCCAAAACAATTTGTCCTTACACTTAACCTACCCTGGTAATACTATTTATTGTCCAGAGTGGTACTTTAATATTTTTCCTTTGTTATGACTAACCCTTAACCTGTCTAGTTGACCTTTTAATTTTCATGTATAAATGTTCTTAACAAGTATATGTGTGATCAGATTGTTCGAAATGTATTGCGCAAATATATCACATAATTCTGATAAACTTCGTCTTCTCATTGCATTATCGAAATTTATCAAAGAGACTAATTGTTTCAAATTTCAGTAGAAGTGATTAATCAGACTTTATATCTGACTCCATAATATTACAGTTACAAATCAATCTATGAAGTATTCTAAAAACTGAAGAAAACTAAATTTTGTGTTCAGTCAAATTCATCACTATAAATTCTTGAATTTCAACTTATTCATCATTGATAACGAGCGATTCTTATTTCTTTTATTTCTAATATCAATTATAGAAGTCATTGAGAAACTATTAAGGAAAGGAAGGCTATCAGGACTCAGTAGCTGAGTGGATAACGAGATGGCCTTTGAAGCGAATGGTACTGGGTTCGAGTCCCACAGTGAACATCAACTCTGAGATGCAGGCACATCCAGCTGACGAGTCCCAAATAGGACGAAACGCTAGTTCTGGGTTCCACTACTGGCCATTATCCATCATTGCTTACAAAAAGCTTGTAAATTAAGGCAATATCGAGGCATACGCACAGTATGCACATGTGCCAATAACAGACTAATCAATTGCATTCTTAAACCTCAATGGGAAGATACAAGCCAAACAATACCAAGTGACTTAAATACTCTTAGGTTTATAATTATCTTCTATTGATTAGTTATTAATTCAATAAATAATGATTTAATTTTAATTATCAGAAGGGGTTTTGTAAGGATTTCAGAAATTTCACTGATTGAAATCATGAATCAATTGAACCTAGACCACTATTGAAAACCTGGAAGCACTGGACGACCGATTCATACTAGTATGGGACTCCTCAGTAGTGCGCATCCATGATCAAATCATTTAACTTTATTATAAGCATAAAATAATCAATGAAAAGATTCACTTATTGATTAATTCTCTGGTTAGTATTATTCTAAATTAGTTATAGAGTATTTGATATGGTATGAAACGTTTAGTTAAAATCTATAACATTAAAGATTTATTTATCATTTTTTGAAAAAATAAATCAGTAACTTTTCACTGTATTCAATTCATTCAAGATCCACAGTTTCATGCATTGATTGAACTAGATTGTCTATTTTTTATAACATAAATACCAACCCTGAAATAGAAAATATTAAAAAATTAATTTAATACGTTATAGATACAAGATACAATAATTTCTTCGCATAAAATTTTGATGATGATGATGATGATGAGTTTAATAACCAAGTAAAGGTTTAACCATTCGTTTTTCTACCAAAATGATGGGGGGGGAATGACATAAGTGCTGAAACTGATATATTAAATACGAATAGAAAAGAATAGTATTAATTGGTTCCAGGATCCTAATTACTTACTTACTAGATGTGTCTCCTAATATCTCTTTATAAAGTTGTTAACTAGACCTTGACGACAAGGATTTAGCAGGCGGTATACGAAGAAAACTACTTGTATAGGTTCAAGTTTCAGGGTATTATCTCAGCATTTACAAAAATAATGTGAAATATCAAATTAATCTACTCTATACTAAAAAAACGAATTGATTTTCAAGTAAGTATCAAGATTATTGATCGAATCCAATCAAAACTGTTTGGTGCCATACAAGTCTGAATTGAACACATAGAAACTTATAACAATGATTGTCATAGACGTTTACATAATCAAATGAAAGTTCCTAACAGAAATGGATTAAGTTATTCACAAACACCTAAGTGAAGATGATGATGATCACTACACACTTACAATGTTTATTTCCATAGAAAAACTTTCTTTATATTAGAAAATGATCATCTTCAATGTATTAGATGATCATGGGATTATATCCTATATGTTACTACATTCACAAAAAATAAGACAATTCATGTCTATACCGCTCATGATTATTGATTGTTGTAATAGGTAAGTAAAGAGGAATGAAGTGATATGATTGTTCGTGTTTTTAATCATTTTGATTAGGGTTACTTTTCAAAGAAATGAAACCTTCACATCAATATTTCAACAAGAAATATATATTCATTGGTAATTATACTTAAAACAAAACAATAACTTTTAGAAATTAAGATACAACATGTATAACGTCATTGGTTTATTGTTATTTCAAGGAAGATCTCCTGAAGTATTGAAAAATTTCTTTCAATTATTTTTATTCTGAGTATATTAGCTGTCATGAGGAACTGTATATTATCGTATATAATTATTATAAATATCATTGATGATTTTGGTGGAGTTTTGTTCTCTGAGCTGGATGGTTTGGTCCTGGAGCTTTCATATATGGAGAAATTCGAACACTTCACTTCTAGCTGAAGTTTTTGCTGATGATGTCGTTCAGAAGAACGATGAAAGCTCCATGATCAAACCATCCAGCTCAGAGAACAAAACTCCACCAAAATCATCCACCAGAACTACAAATCTTCTCCACCATCTCAAAATCATTGATGATTATTGTTTGTTTCAGCCTTTGATTTACAGAAAAATAATTACTTTCTAACGGGATTTAAGTTTCTTCAGTCAGAAGTTCGTTATATTTCCAAATAAAATTCCCGTAAATCAATCACTAGATTAGTGCAGTATCATCAGTTTTAATGATAACTGACAGATATACTGAATACAGATGACTCTCAAGTAAATAGAATTAATCAAGTTACTTGGAGTTCCCGCATATTTCAGAGTTTAATTCTTGTTCTCAACATTACACATAGAATGTCATATTTAATGTTGAAAGATTTTACTGGTGAGACTATAATTTATGGACGAATCAATTAGATTTACCATACCAAGTCTTGGATTTTGGCGCTTAACTCATTCATCCATTTGGCTAAATAGAATTTTGGCAGTTCGTGATCAAAACCGTAAATCTTATGCCTAACCCTAACCATCAACTGTTATTCATAATTCGAATTCATCACACCGGTTTATAACCATCATTTAGTCCTAGTTAGTAGGTGAACATTCTCAAGGTCATTTTAACGTCACTCAAAGGTCGTTCATAAATTATAGTCATACCAAATGTTTTAATCATCTTCTTCTGATTGACTATCTTTAAGGATTTAAATGACAGTGAAAATATATGAAAACACTTTTAAATCTCTTAACAAATCTATTCATTATTTTTTTATTGAGATCATGAAACGATTAATGTTAGACCAGCCTGGGAAACCTGGAAGCAGTGGACGGTCGTTTCGTCCTATTGTGGAACTCCTCAGCAGTGTGCATCCACGATCCCAACTCGCGGGATTCGAACCCAGGGCCTTCGGCCCCGCGCGCGAACGCTTAACCTACTGGACCACTGAGACGGCATCCACTGGTGTCCAACACCAACCAATCTATTCATCATTTGTCAATGACAAGATTGAACAAGATTTAAACTGATTCCTTTCCTATTGGATTGAAATATTTAAGTAGTAATTATAACCAAAATTGGTTTCTAAGAGCAATCGCTTCCTTTTTTTATAAATTTATATAATTTAAAGAAATTTTGATAAATATCTAAATAAAAACTACATACTTCACAAGATACCGATGGATCGATTTGGGCTATAGATTTATTAATTGCTTTAAACATTGTAAATGTGACTAGGGCTACACACTACAAAAATATAAAGAAAACATATAAACATTTGAGTTATTATCATTACTGTAAATACTTCTATTCATATTGATACTACTGTAAAAGAAGGAAATGAGTAGAAGGAATATATGTTTATTGTAAGGAGTTACAAAACACTTACGCAATACATATATACATGTTTGTATCCTTCGGTGTATACTTCAATCTGAACTGTTTTACCGTCTGATCTTCAAGTATTGTGATGACGCCGTGCTTTGGTTATACTGAAACTCTTCATTCTGTCCAACAACTTCAACGCCACGTTTCGCAACATACTACTTACAAGAAATCTTGTGAGTAGCATTTA